TCTGAAAATTTGAATTCTTTATTTTTAAAGCATAAGCTTTAAAAATAAAATTTAGTTTAAGTTTTAGACAATAATTATTTATTATTGAAATAATGGATTTATAGAATAATTTTAAGTAACAATATTCATTACAAGAATTTAATTATGTTCAAAATTTTTTTTAAATTTTCTTCAAAATTTCAATTATTTTTATAAATAATAAAATTCTTGGCCAACATTTAATTATTTTCATAAACAATAAAAATTTCACGGGAATTCAATTATTTACAAATTTTTTATAAATTTTTTCGCAATAATTCGTTATTAATTCGTTAATTGTACGATAAAATTTGAAGAATTTTAGAGAAATTACAAATGATTGCAAAATTCAATTATTTTCAAAAGTAATAAAATTCTTCGCAGAAATTCAATTATGTTCAAAAATTTTTTAAAATTGTCGTTAAAATTTCAATTATCTTTAAAAATTATAAAATTCTTCTCCGAAATTCAATTATTTTCAAAAATTTTAATAAAATTCTACACCAACATTTAATTATTTTCATAAAATAATAAAAATTTCACAAAAATCCAATTATTTACAAATTTTTTATAAATTTCTTCGCAATATAATTCAATTATTTTTCTAAATAATAAAATTCTTTGTAGGAATGAAATTATTTTCATAAATGTAATAAAAGTAATACGAATCGCAGAATTTCAATTATTTTTAATCAAATTTTAATCAAATTCCTCGATAAATGTAATTATTATTAAAAATTTTATTAAAATTCGTCAAACGAATTCATTTATTTAAAAATTTGTTGACAAAATTCTTTATGAGAATTCAATTTTCAGAAACATTCAAATATTCAATAAATTATTTTTTTGTATTTAAATAATTGAATTCTAGTAGAATTTTCTAATAAAAATTTATTTAAAAATGAATTTCAGTTAAAAGCAAATGAATTTGGCAATTCTCAAAAAACTATTTTAAAAATTATTAAAAATAATGGATTTATAGAAAAATTTTAGTTGACACTAAAAAAATTTAATTTTGGAGAAGTTACAAATTATTCCACAAGTAATAAAATTCTTCGCAGAAATTTAATTATGTTCAAAAATAGTAAAATTTATTGTTTGTAATATTTATAATTTTATAAATTTTATAATTTGATTTATAATTTAAATATTACCTATAAGTTTTATAATAATATATTAATTATAATACAATTTATTTTTTTACTCATTTTTTATTTTTAAATTCATTTTTGAAAGAACAATTTTATTATTTTCAGTGGGAAAAGTATTTTTCTTCGTTCATTATTGATAATGAATGTTGTGAACTTAACCGTCGTTGAAAATAGCAAATAATTTGTAAATAGTAAATTTTATATTTTTTTTATCCTTAGTAATTTATTATTATAAAAATTAGTAATTTTATTTAAATGTTTTTTATTACACTAAATTGAAATTTGATGACATTGGTTGAAACTGATCTTTCATTATTTTAATCATGTTTCTTTTTTTCTTTTATCATTGGTACTTCTTTCTTCTTTTCTTATCTTTTAATTTAAGTTTTGGATATAGTTTTAATTAGGATTTGTGTTGGAGAAAAAATGAGCGGATTTAGACAATCAGAGAACTTTTGTTTTCTTATTTTTTTTTTCCTTTTTTCTCTATCAACGTCTCAGAGAGTTAACGAATGTCGTTGATCCAAAAAGTTTTATCGAAGTGAAAGCAATAAAATGGAAGTTGGTAATAATTTTCTTAGCTCTCATTGCTCGAAAATAAAATCCCCCTACGATTTATTTCTCTGGGGTGAAACCTTACTATTTAAATAATCATTCGGCAAAAGCCGATATTTATTATTCCGAATCGTATTTCTTATCCTAATGAAAGTAACTTTATATCACCAGAAAAATCTCATTTGGGAAAATATCGTTGATTAAACGGGGAAAAAGTTTTTTCGCAGAAAATATTATTTTTTTTTCTTTCGTTTTTTCTGATATCGAAATACAATATTGCAGTTTCTATATTTAGTGAGAATGCAAATGTTATATTTTTAATGAAAGAGATTAAATGAAAGGAGTTATGGATTTATATATAAATAATAGGATTTTATGAAATAATGTGCGATGGAGAAGAAAAAACTTGGTCATCGGATGATTTTTTATTAATCAGTTGAGAATGATTACTAAAAGTGGTAATAATATAAGGGAAAGAGATTTTCAAAAAATTATGCTTTTAAAATAAGAATTTGAAAATAAAAGTTAATGAAAAGCTTCGAAAAATTATATTATAAATTTTTAATATTTCTCAATAAAGTAATTATTAGACATTTTTTATTATAATTTTTTGAAATTCAATTATTTTTAATATTTTCAAGTACATACTTTCATATTTTAGATTTTCCATTAAAATTATGAAGAAATATTTTTCTTTTATATTTTTAATTAAAATTCTTTTAAAAACGATTAATTTTCCAAAAATTCTTTTATTAAATTCAATTATTTTTAAAAAATTACACTAAAATTCAATTATTTGAAAATTTTTAAATTATGTTGGTATATATCATTAAAAAATCCATTATAATAATTTATTATCTTCAAGAAAGATCATTTTTAAGATTTTTAAATTATTCGAAAATAATATGTATGCAAGAAAATAGTGGAAATAGATTTAAAAAACAATTTTCGACGAAATACTTTATTAAAACTTTTTTAAATAATTGAAATTTCTAAGAATTTTAATTGCAAATTTAGAGAATAATTAAAGTCTTAAAAATTGTAATGACAAAAATTTTTAAATGAACATTAATAAAAATTAGATTCAAAAAATTATATTAAAATATTTTTTGAAAAATTAATTCTTGGAATTTTTTTCATTATGTTTTTTAAACTTCAATTATTTTCAATATTTTCAATTACATTACTTAAAATAACTATACATACGAATTTTTTAGAATTATTATATTAAAATTTTAGAGAAATCAATCAAAAATTCTCAAAACATTGAGTAACTTTTTAATTAGTTTAAAAATTCTTTTAAGATATTTAATTATTATAATATTAATATAATACAATTATTATAATTCTTATAATTTTGTTAAATATCCATTATCTTTAAAAAAGTAAATTAAAATTTAAAAAAAAAATCCTTTTTTTAAGACTTATTAAAATTTTTGTAAAAATCGTGTATTTTCACATAATTGTATTTAAAATTCTTCAAAATTTTGATTATTTTTGAACATTTTTAAGATTTGATTATTTTCAAAATTCTTTACTAAATTTCAATTATTTGAAAATTTTTCGATTATATTACACGATTTTAATATTATACAATTATATCAAAAAATTTAATTATAATATTATAATTGAAAAATTTATTAGGCTTTCTAAAATTATTTTAAAATATTTGTAAAAAAACTAATTTTAAAAATTTTTATTCATAATTTTTGAAAAATGAATTATTTTCAACATTTTTGGATATAATTTTTCAATAATTCACCTTAATTTTTATTTTAATTTTCAAAGAGTAAAAAAGTTACAGTTATTGAAAAAAAATTGAATGTTTGTGTTTAAATAATTGAATTTTTAAAGAACTTTCAAAAATTTTTTAGAAATAATTGATTTAGAAAAGTAGTTTATTAAAAATAGTAGGGGAACATAGTCTAGGTCGGCCACCTTTTTGACTTTTGTTTATAACTTTTTTTTAAAAATGAATTTGGACAATTGAAGTATATGGTTGGAAAGTCCTGTTTAATAGGAACATTTTTTTTGTACAAAGTAAATTGACAGGTTTAAAAATGAAAAAGTTATAAAGATTTAAAAAAAAAAAATTTGTAGTCCAGGTTGGCCATTACAGTCAAGGTCGGCCATGTTTAAAATTCAAAGGGCATTAATCTTTAAAAAATAAAATATCATGTTTGGAGTTACGGAAAATTGATTCTTTATTGTTTACAGTTTGTAACTTAATGAAATAACAAAATAATAACAATAAACAATATAAAAAAATAAATATAAATAAAAAAAAATTTTGCACTAAAATATTAATAAAATTAAATAAAAATATTAATAAGACGATCAATTATATTATGAGTTATACAGAATTGCAGTTTTTGCAAATGAAGTAGCTCGTCCTCAGCTTTGCGCATTTTAAACACACAGTGGCCGACCTTGACAGTAAGTAACATTACCGAATTGTTGTAACCATAAAGAAATACGTTTCGGGATTCGATTTTTTACTTTGTTTTCCTTTCAACCATGAGTCCCACAAATTTTCTGCATACTTGCCTTGACGATTCAATTTGTTTTTTATCTTTTATTAATGGTTTTTCACATTATGCACAAAACTTTTTTTGAGCTTTTTTTGTACCGACGTCACAGAAAACACAATTTTCGATTTTCCGAAAATGTAATTGAACAAAAAGTTAGGTTTCACTAAGACAAGCTTCGACAAAAATGCGCGTAGGTGGCGCTAGTGAACTTGACAAAAAAACGCGAGTGGCCTACCTAGACAGTAGACCAACCTTGACTACATTCCCCTAATACTAAAGGATAATATTAAATTTTGGAAGGATTATAATTTTTAAAAATTGAATTTGTGTGTTTAAAGGATTGAATTTTGGAGAAGTTACATTATTAAAAAATTGAATTTTTGTGTTTAAATAATTGAATTTTTAAAGAATTTTTTTTTTTTGAATTTGTGTGTTTAAAGAATTGAATTTTGGAAGAGTTACAATTATTTTTAAAAAATTGAATTTTTGTGTTTAAATAATTGAATTTCGGAAGGGTGCAATTATTTTTAAAAAATTTAATTTTTGTTTTTTGAATAATTATATTCTCAAAGAAAATTATTAAAAGTAGTTGATTTAGAGAAGAAATTTATTAAAAAAATAAATTTTAGAAAATAAAATAAAATTTTGAAAGGATTACAGTTTGAGAATTACTGAAAGTGTCAATAATCTAATGGAAAGTAATTTTTTTTTTAAAAAATCCTATTTTGACTTTGATGTTTGTCAGGGAGGGTTGCCCAGTTGGTCCAGGATTCACGCTGAGCAAAGTGTTTTCCCTGAGACCTCTTCTTGCCAACAACAAAAACAAATTTGGGCTTGCCCTCGACGGCCAGCTCAAGCACGAAGACACCAATTTGGCGTCCAGCACGCTGTAAGATTGATCATTCGATTCAAATCTATATCAGTTAAACATCTAAAATATCTAAATGCCAGAATTCAATCTGAATTTCTAATTTTCTCAGCTTCCGTTTCATGGGAATTATTATTCTACATTTGTAAAAAAAAAATCTGCATCAACAATTTTGTGTTTCAAATTTTAAAAAAAAAATTATAACTATTTTTAAATTTGTATTCGTACATCCAGTTATATATTTGATAATTTATAAATTTTTATTTAACATTCGTAGAAATTTTCTATATTTAAATTAATTAAATTTAAATTTGTTCTAAATTTGAATTTTGTTTTAAATTTATATTTCGGTTTCTTTATTAAATATTTACTGCATACTGAAAAGATAATTAATCAAATCGAATAGACAAATATTTACTTGGACCAAAACATTAAAAATAAATAAACTTTTTCAATATACTGTGACCCAAGAATCAAGATGAAAAATTAATGAACTTGATATAAAAATAGAGTAGAGATTTATCTGCTTTATTCGTAACAAGAATTTTCGAAAATATTAATCTAAACGAGCGTTTGTATATTAGAATGATTGAAATGATTATGTAAAGTCGTTGGGGTTGTAAAATGCATGGAATACATTACCACTCTCTTTATAAAGCTTTAAATATTATATCTGTTGGTTTTCATGGGTTCTTAGTTTTCTTATATTAGCATATCAAAAATTCCTTTCCAAATCTCTATTTTGCATTTCCACCCCAATTTGTACCAGATATATATATATATAAAGCAATTCATTTCTTTTGAAAGAAAAAAATGTATTCTATTTTTAAATTCTATGTAAATCGACACATAATTTGAAATCATTTTAATATTAAAATAAACAATTTGCTCTCGATAATACAAAAATGGAAGATGCATGATATAACCTTCGAATGTAGAATAGTAGGAATAGAATATTCAAGTAGGGTTACGGTTAAAAATTTATTTATAAATGTAACAGAATACAAAATAAGTGACTTGAAAAAATTTTAACAGTTTACTGAAAAAACATTAATCCGAAGAAGAAAATAATTTTCAATAGATTTGTTTATTAACTTAATCCATATAAAAAAATATCTTTGATTTTAAACTATTATTTCGAATATTATTTTTTTGAAATAAATTCAAAAATACATTCTGGTTTGGTTTCAACTAAACAATAGATTTAAAACAGGAAATCTAGTTTCATTTTTGTTTTAGAATTATGGTACAAAATAAAATAAAAAAGAGTAATGCAGAAGTTACAATAATAAATAGAAATGGAAAAAATGTATTTAGGGAAATTTTTCCTTTTTTTTTTTGATAGAAAAATTTAGGAGAATTGTAGAGACAATGTTTAGAATCGTAACCCTGACGAATACTCCATAAAATTATCATAATCAGTTAAATGTGCCATGATACACAAATTGAAAAATTATTTACTTATTCTGGATTCTTCATCTCATTAGCTCTCTCGCTTAATGCAAATTTTTTCCATGTTTCCAAATTTTCCTTCTTCTATAAAACTGTGTGAATGTTTAATTTCGCATAATATTAAGATTTAAAAAATGGCTTTAGTTTATGCATAAGTTATTTTCCCCACGTGACAGTCTAGCAGACAATTAAATGTTTTTGGGTTCACTCTCATTGAATTACTTGAAAATTTGTAATATTATATAATTTATTCGTACAAAGTTTCAAAAAATCAACTTTTTCAGGGAAAACAATTGTTTATTTGCTGGAACAATTGTTTTTATTTCTTTTGACATAAAATTCATTGAATATGAAGTACATTTGACATTAATTCTCATAAGATTAATATGACGCAAATGTCATTTGACATTAAAATTCATTTAATATAAACTTTATTTCTTATTTGACATGAAATTCAATTAGCATAATACCCATTTGACTTAAGAATCACTTGACATAACTTTCATTTAACATAAAAATCACTTAAAATTAATTTCAATTAACGTAAATTTTCTTTACACAGAAAATTCATTTGACATAAAGTTCATTTGATTTAAAATAAAATTCTTTTCATATAAATTTTATTTGCCATGAGAATCACTTGAAATAATTTTTATTTAACATAACAATCACTAAACATAAACTTTAATTTCAATTTTCATTTGATACAAAATTCACTGGACAAAATATTTGTTGAACATAGATGTCATTTGACATTAAAATAACGTGAGATACATTTAATTTTAACATGAAATTAATTTGACATAAAGTAAATTTGCCTTAATATTTATTCAACATAAAATTTATTTGATATAATTTTTGACATAAAATTCTTTTAACATAAAATTCATTTGACATAAAAGTCATTTAACATAAATTTTATTTGACATAAAATTCACTTGGCATAAATTTCATTTGACATAAAAATTACTTGACATAAATATCATTTGGCATAAGATTTATTTTATATGAAGTCTATTTGACGTAAAATTCGTTTTAAATAAATGTCATTCGACACAAAATTCAAGTGATTCAAATCTCATCTTGACATAAAAATCATTGGTCATTTGATATAAAATTCAATTCATTTTAACATAAAATTCATTCGTTATTTCATGTCAAATTTAATTAATTTGACATAAAATTCATTTCAGAAAAATTTTATTTTACATAATTGTCATTTCAGACAAATTACATTTGACAGAAATTTCAATTGAAGTAAAGTTAATTTCACATTAAATTCACTTGACCGCAATTTTATTTGACATAAAATTAATTTAACATAAACTTTATTTAACGTAAAATTCATTTTAAATAAATATTATTTGACATAAAAGTTCTTTTGACATTAAAGTCATTTAACAAAAATTTTATTTGATATAAAATTTACTTAACATAAATTTCATTTTGACATAAAATTCATTGGTCATTTTATATAAAATTCAATTCATTTTAACATAAAATTCATTCATCATTTGATGTCAAATTCAATTAATTTGACATAAATTTAATTTCAGACAAATTTTATTTGACATAAATTTCAATTGAAATGAAGTTAATTTCACATTAAATTCACTTGACAGCAATTTTATTTGACATAAAATTCATTTAACATAAACTGTATTTAACATAAAATTCAATTAGCATAATACCCATTTGACTTAAGAATTTCTTGGTATAATTTTCATTTAACTTAAAAATTACAAATAAATTTCAATTTACGTAAGTTTTATTTGATAGAAATTCATTGGACAAAAAATTCGTTGAATATAAATAGCATTTGACTTAAAATTCATTTGACATTAAATTCTTTTGGTATAAATTTTATTTGACATAAAGTTCATTTTATATGAAGTCTATTGGACGTAAAATTCATTTTAAATAAATATCATTTGACATAAAATTCAATTGATTTAAATTTCATTTTGACATAAAATTCATTCGTCATTTGATGTCAAATTGAATTAATTTGACATAAAATTCATTTCAGATAAATTTTTTTTGACATAAATTTCAATTTATGAATAAAATAAAATAAAGTTATTTTGACATAATTCTTATTTTACATTAAATTCACTTGTCAGAAATTTTATTTGACACAAATTTTACTTAACATGAAGAAAATTATCGTGTTGATTCACCACGCTGAATATAAATTTATTTTAGTTAAATAACATTGTCAATCAACAAAATATTGTAAACATGTTTATTACTTATTTGAAGAGTTTCATTTCCTGAGTTGAATGAAAAAAACAAAACTTGTTTATCTTTACCCGTTCAAAAGATATGAGCATTTAAACAATTTTGATCAATATTGTATCTTATAAATAAATAATTATTTTTTCCCAAAAGTAAATGCATCCCATATAAATAAACAATTAGTTTGTCCCAAAAAGTTGATTTTCTGAAACTTTTAACGAATAATAAATAAAATATTACCAACTTTCAGAGTAATTCGATGAGAGTGCTCTGAAAACATTTAATTATCTTGTGGACTCGCATATCTATACTTTATTTTTATTAGTCTTAAATAAAATCACTGACACGTAATGCTGACATTATCAAATGAATTTGCTATTCAACAAATAAAATATGATTTGCACCTATGAATAAAATAGGAAGATTGCATGTCTGAAAAAGAGCACAGACATTAATGTAGTGCGGAGGGTTTTAAATTCACCTCGTGATATTCAACAAAAAATTTAAGCGCATTTAAAGTGTAATGCAGTAAAGCAGAGAGATGAAGGAATCGGAAATCCACATTTTGCATCTACTCTCATTTAAGAATCTGAATTATATAAAGATTCCAGTGAAAAGTTTCATTTTCAGAAAATTCACTTTAATCTTTTCCGTGAAATTAAAAAAATTTTCTTTCATTTTCTTTTGAATCAGAATTGACCGCACTTTATTATTTATTATTTTTGTAAAATTAGATTTAAAGGAAAAAATGTAGAAAAAACATTTTTAATTTCTAAACTTTAATAATGAATAAAAAGTGAATAAAAATTGAAGTATATGGTAATAAGATGTAAAAAGTTATAATAAAATAAAATGAGAAGGAAAAAAAAATTGAAAAACTTTTCACGTAAATCTTTCAGATTTCTATTTACATATCTCATATTCTACTTATTCACCTGTCATGAATGATATAGAATACTTGAAAAATATTGAAAGCTCTCTCTCTCTCTTAAAGTCAATCGTTTGAAACTTCTTTTTTTTTACACAAATTACATTCTTCATTATTTGTCATTCACGCATGAAAATTTAGTAAGCAAGAAAAAAATGTTTGGCTTTGCATTTTGTCATTTTAAATTTAAATTGAAACACAAAAAAACTTGATTTACAATCACGTGGATTTAATTGGGAATTTTATTTATATTTTATGGATCTCTGCAAAATGGAATTGTGACGCGCTCTAAAGAAAGGATACGCTGAAAATAAATTTGTTTCAAATTTCAATTAACCGATTGTGTCTATTATCGAATAAATATTTACTTGAATCAAATGTTATTTTTATTTAAGTAAAATTAAATTGTATTTAAAGATTTAAACCAATAATTTCAGCTCAATTGAAACAAATACGATTTAATTGATTTGAATAAAAATTATTTGCACTTCAAGTACCTAAATATTTAATATTTAAATTATTTATTTAATATTCAAACGTTTAATTTAAGAATCAAATAAATTTTTTTTCTGTATGTGAAAAATTATACTTCGTAGGTATTTATAATAATTTGATTTTTTTTTTAATTTTGTGAAATAAAAAACAATTTTTTTCGAATATTAATTCGGATTTGATAAATACGAAAGAAGTAAAACCAAAAACATTTATGATCAACAATTGAATAAAATTTCTTTTTCTCAATGAAAATAATAAACTTTTTCTCAGTTTCACGTAGTTTTTACACTTTTCAGGATCACAGTTAATCCCCTTTTTTCTCTTTTTCACTTTTTTCTTCTCTTAAATTAATAAAATCTTCTAAAACCACATAAAATTATGCATATTCTCTTCTATTTAAGTACCAAGAAGAAAAAGATTTTTATTTTTTGTAAACTTTGGGAAAATTTTAGTTTCTCGAGATTTAATATTCTTTTTTTATAAAAAATTTATTTTTTCCGAGCTTTTAAATTCGTAAACTTTTTTATACGAGGGTATAAGAAATATAAAATAACTTTTATTAATGATAAAGTAAAAACTCAAACTTTTTAGAATTTATTATGGCAACTTGAACTATTTTTAGAATAAATTTTACTAAAATAAATAAATTTAAATTAAATAAGTAAATGAATAAATAAACCTATATGCTTTACTAATTTTTATTTAAATTTACTTTGAATATTGTAAAATTTGAAAATTATATTTTGTATAAAAAAAAAACAAGTAAAAAACTATTTTTTATTAAAAATTATTATTTCCAGAGTAAATTTACCTAATTTTTTTGACAGAATTAATTTAATATTAAATTTTGAAAATTAAATTTTGTATAAAAAATATTAAAACAAGTAAAAAACTATTCGTTATTAAAAATTGTTATTTCTAGAGTTTTCTTAATTTTTTTGACAGAAATTTTCTTCGGAAATAATAAAAGTTATTCTGGAAATAATAATTTTAAGTAACAAATTTAACAATTTCTGTAAAAAATTTTATTGAGTTTTTCTGAAATAATTTACTTCGGATGTAGAAAAATTCATTAAATTTTATATAGAAAAAGTAGAATTGTAACGAAAATTTTAATTCAAAATTTAAAAAAATTGCAGACTATTTTAAAAGAGAATAAAAAATATCTTTCAATAATAAAAAGTCTGAATTGAAAAAGTTAGAAATATTAAAAAAAAAAGTAAAAAAAACTTTAAAATAAACTGTATTCCCTATAGTAAAATAATTTTTTTACTTAATTAAAAAATCCACCTTTTTAAACTGAATCTTCTTTTTAAAAATTAAAATCCCTTTCTTTATCCAATTTTAATGAAAAAATTACTGTGATCTCTGTTTTTTGATTAAAAATTTTTCTTTTAAAAATTGTTGCATCAAGAAACAACTTTGTAAAAAATTCTTTTGTCTAAAAGTTATTAAAAAGTTCAGAAAAATATTGTTTTCTCTAAATCGTTGATAATAAACGTTGTAAACTTCACAAAAGTCTATAATCAACGATTCAAGGAAAAATTTTTTATAAATTTTTTTCTAAAAAAATACTTTACATATAGTTTTTTGATCAATAATTTAAAAAAAAAAGTAAAGAAAAAATTCTATTGTTTTCGGCGAGAAAATTTTTTTTTTTTAAATTCTCTCTAAATTTTAATTAGTTAACAAAAATTAATTTGATAGTTAAAAAATCAGTCACTAATTTAAATTAGTAAACATTTTTACCAATTTAAATTTATACAATAGACTTTTTATTTGCTTCAATAAATTTTATTTGGTTATTATATTTATTTGAATTTGAACCAAATAAGAATAATAATAAAAATTTTTATTTGGTTCAAAATTCAAATAAACATTTTATTTGTGTCGAATGAAACTTTTATTTAAAACAAATAAATAACCTATTTGTCCTTTAAATCTGAATTGGTTAAAAATAACTAATTTGATAGTAAAAATTCAATCACTGATTCAAATAAAGAATTTTACTAATGAAATAGTTAATGATGACTAATTAGTAGTTAAATTCATTTTTAGTTTATGAAAAAATAACTGAAATTTTTGGTAATTAATTTAATTTGACTGTTTGTTATTTTTTATTAATAATTAATAACTTTCTCCTAATAGTTTGTTATTTTTTACTAATTGCTAAAAATTCAGTTACGATTTTACTATTAATTAGTTATTTTTATCTAATTCAGATTTAGAGAGTGGCTCTGAAACAGATATTTTATTTAACTCAAATAATTATTTGGTTTAAATAAAATTTTTCTCTGGGTGTAAAACTAAAAGTACCGATTGAATTAGTAAAAATTCTACTAAAAATAATAATAATACCTAATAATAATAATAATACCTAATAATAATAATAATAATAATAATAATAATAATAATAATAATAATAATAATAATAAATAATTTTTATTATTTATTATATATTAAAATAATAGTTTCTACTTAAATTTAGAGAGTATATAATTTTGAATTTTTCGAAAAAAATATCTTCTCTATTGGAGAAGATATTTATATTTATCGTGTAATATTTTTCTCGATAATTTAATAAATCAAAAGTTTATTGATTTTAGTTGTTCAAATATAGAAATTTATACCTAATAATAAAGATGATTTATTTTTCTCGCAATTCCGTGAAATCTGGTGATTATTGTCTACTTGATATAAAACTTTCAACAATCAATTTACTTTTATGAAATACACGCACACAGCCCTTTTCAGAAATTTATACGAAATAAATTTTTCCACACCCTGTTCATAAATTTTTAAAAGGGTCAACCATATACGTAATATTGCTGTAGGTTTCACCTCATTTATTTCGGTTTTATTTTTATATTTTTTGACGTCCTCTTTTTTTTATAATACATTCCTCCGAGAAAAATAAAGGAAACACAAAAATATTGTTTCATTGTGTTGAAAAAAGATCGTTGAAGCGATCATTCTAATATAAAGCTGAAAGCATGAGAAGCAATATGTACCATATACGTGACCGTGTCCATAATCTCCATCTCTTTTCATATGCATGATACTTTTTTAGTCTTGTATCTGTTTAGCTACCAGAACTTTGCATGATTCTCATATTGCACTGCTTCCGCTTTTTTTTTCTTTTTCTTTCCGTTTTGCTCTGAAGTTTTTCAGAATTATAACGGATTCATTAGGATAATGTACTACACTCGAGACATTATCTTAATAGAGTAAAAAAAAAATCGAATCGAAAATGTAATTTAAAAATAAGTAGGTTAGAGTAAAAAATTTTTTTCTGTGAGTTGAATTTTATTCCGGAAAATTGAACTTTCGTGTCTATTTTTACTTTTTCAGTTTTGAGTAAAAATGAATTTTTTTTACACTGGAAAAAAATTTATTTGATTCAAACAATCAATTACTTGACTATCGTTTATGATCAACAATTGAATAAAATTTATATTTTTCTCAATTTAAATAATAAAGTTTTTAAATAAAAAAAAAATTATTTGATTCAAAGAACCAATTACTTGACAATATCAACTACTTGACTATTATCAATTAAATATTTACTTGGATCAAATAATATTTATTTAAATCATATAAATTTTTGTTGAACCAAAAATTTCAGTATTTGAAGAAAATTTGAATTGAACCATTTAATTTGACACCAATAAAAATTATTGGATTCCAGTAAATATTTAATTGATAATAGTCAGGTAATCGGTTAATTGAATCAAATGAATTTTGTAAACACAAAATTTATTTTTTTTACCTTAAAAACATTTTTTAATTTTTAGTGTTCATCGTAAACTTAAAGAAAAATATTTTGTTAACAAAAAATATTAAAAATTTTTTTTCTGAACCAAAAAAATTTGTAATTTGTAAGCGAAAAATAATTTTTAAAATAAATATTCGAATAAATAATGTAGTAAGCAATAAAATAAATTGGAATTTTCACTTTGAAATTTGATGAAGAAAATATATTAATTGACAGAAATTATTGAACAAAAACGATTGTTTCCCGTGAGATAAATGAGACAATTGATTGGAATCGTTGCTTTTGCTTTTGTTTTTGCACCCATTTATGAAGCATTTAACAATTATATTGCCAATGCTGACTTTTGTAGTTGCAATAAAAGTGTGACATTTCACTTTTTACTCTTTTTTTTTTTTTATTTTTTATTGAAAAGTGTGAGTGTAATAATCATTTCATGTTGAATGCGCTTTTATGGGAATTGTGTGGCTTCCATTATATTTGTAGTTATAGAAGTGTTTGCTTTTGTGTGAATAGTCGACATGATAAATTACTGACATCGCTGTTTTCTAACAGTTTGACAGATTCGTCGCAACGCGAGAACCTTGGAATTATCGTTCAATATAAAGTCAAAGTGAAACTTTGTCTTGGAGCATTAGGAGGGTAAGTGTAGTACATTCTTTTTCTCTCTTATTTATTTCTTTTACGCCGATTGTAATCTATAAATAAAAAAAATAAAAACAATATTATGGAAAAAAATTAAATTGATAAATCTTGTGTTATTGAAGATTAGAAAAGAGAAGGTAGTAAAAATTTTGAGATAAGAAAATTTATAATCGTTTTCTGTAAATTATTATTATTATTATTATTAATTACTAATTATTAAAATTAAAAATTGATTTTTCATTTAAAATACCTTTTTTTTATTATTTATTATAATTAATTTTTCTAATTATAACATTTGTTTTCTTCATTGTTTGTCATCTTGAAACGAGAATACACTTCGGTAGTTTGAATTACATTGATTTAATTTGAAATTGTCTCAGGGAGTTGGTTGCTGAATTGCCATTCACTCTAATGCATCCAAAACCGGAAGAGGAAGAACCAGAGAGGATAGTTGTGGAACCTCCGAGTCCTGTACATAACAACAATGCAAATAATAAAGATGAGAACCTGATTCAGTTGGACGCGTAAGATAAATTTACTGTTATTTTTATTTTTTATTTTCAAAAGAAATTTAATTAATCTCAAACATTTCATGAAGTGCGTTAATTATTTATCTCTTTCGAGGCGAATTTCTTCAGAAACTTTTGCCAAGACTATATTCTCGAATTTAAAGAAACATTTATTTTTACCGCAGATAAGTATTTTAGTTTTCGATTTTATATTTTTATTTTATTCGAACAAATAGTTACAATTTTCCAAGTGTTTGCAATGTACAAATGAACGAATTTTTTAAAAATATTTTCAAAATGCAAAAATACTACAGAATTAAATTAAAAATAAAATAAATTCAAGGTTTATAGGAAATAATTAATTTTCATAAAACTCTTCAAGAGGATTCGAAGCTCGAAAGAATTCAATTACTGTAAAGAATTCAATTAATTTCAATACAATTTAAATTAGAAATCACTACAGAATTCAATTACTGGAAAGAATTCAATTATTTTCAATACAATTTAAATTAGAAATCTCTAAAGAATTCAATTACTCAAAAGAATTCAATTATTTTCAATACAATTTAAATTAGAAGTCTCTAAAAAAATTCAATTACTTCTAAAAATTATAATACAACTAGCCAAACTATCCGCGCGCAAGCGCGCGGGAATGTTGTATGGGGCTGCTTATTTTAAACAATTTAAAAAATTTTAAAGAAATAATTATTATAACCTAACAAAGAGATTTAACTAACTAAAATTTAAATAATTTCACTCAATGGTCTCAATTTAAATAGAATTTACATTACTAGACTTAAACTATGGCTAGAACAATTACAATTAGTATCTGGGTCATCTTTTGCATTGCTTATTGTATAAAGCCATTTTAAATTAAATACTTTTCAAAGAAATAATAATTATTACACAATGAAAAAAGTTTTACTTGAAATAGCGATAAGTTTCTCTAGAATAACGAAAGTATTAATTGAAGCACTGAAAAATTTCGCTACTAAAGTGAAATCTGTAGTTCATCCAGCTAAATATTTTTTGCCGTGCATAACGAAAAAAGAATTAAATTAACATCAGATTTTCTACATTCAAAAAAAACGAATTCAAATAGAAATTAATCATTTTACAACTTAACCAAATTCACCACAGAAATCACTGAATTCGATAATTTAGAAGAAAGTCAGACAAAAGCAGGGTTCCTACAGAATCTGGAAAATCATGAAAATGGTATGGAATTTTTAAAAGGCTTCTGGAAATCAGGGAAATCATGGAAAAGGCCTGGAATTTTTAAAAGTTTCTAAATTTTTTCAGTTTTCCATTTTTTTTCTTGAATAAAAATTCAAATAATAATAAAGCTAAATGGCATAAAAGACAAAAAAAAATGTTGAATTTTAAGCAATTCGATTTTTCGGATTTTTGATAATTTTTAATAATTTTTGATTTTTTACCAAAGAGTCGAGACAATTTAATAAGTAAAGTATTTTCCAAAAGCACAAAAATAATGAAGCTAAATCCCATAAAAGAGAAGAAAAAATGTTGAATTTTAAGAAAATCGAATTTTTGAATTTTTTCGAATTTTTGATAATTTAAATTTTTTACCAAAGAGTCGAGACAATTTAATAAGTAAAGTATTTTCCCAAAGCACAAAAATAATGAAGCTAAATCCCATAAAAGAGAGGAAAAAATGTTGAATTTTAAGAAAATCGGATTTTTGAATTTTTTCGAATTTTTGATAATTTTAGATTTTTTACCAAAGAGTCGAGACTATTAAATAAGTAAAGTATTTTCCAAAAGCACAAAAATAATGAAGCTTAATCCCATAAAAGAGAAGAAAAAATGTTGAATTTTAAGAAAATCGGATTTTTGAATTTTTTCGAATTTTTGATAATTTTAGATTTTTTACCAAAGAGTCGAGACTATTAAATAAGTAAAGTATTTTCCAAAAGCACAAAAAGTAATGAAGCTTAATCCCATAAATGAGAAGAAAAAATGTTGAATTTTAAGAAAATCGGATTTTTGAATTTTTTCGAATTTTTGATAATTTTAGATTTTTTACCAAAGAGTCGAGACTATTAAATAAGTAAAGTATTTTCCAAAAGCACAAAAATAATGAAGCTAAATCCCATAAAAGAGAGGAAAAAATGTTGAATTTTAAGAAAAACGGATTTTTGAATTTTTGATAATTTTCGATAATTTTAGATTTTTTACCAAAGAGTCGAGACAATTTAATAAGTAAAGTATTTTTTAAAAGCACAAAAATAATGAAGCTAAATCCCATAAAAGAGAGGAAATAATGTTGAATTTTAAGAAAATCGGATTTTTGAATTTTTTCGAATTTTTGATAATTTTAGATTTTTTACCAAAGAGTCGAGACTATTAAATAAGTAAAGTATTTTCCAAAAGCACAAAAATAATGAAGCTTAATCCCATAAAAGAGAAGAAAAAATGTTGAATTTTAAGAAAATCGGATTTTTGAATTTTTTCGAATTTTTGATAATTTTAGATTTTTTACCAAAGAGTCGAGACTATTAAATAAGTAAAGTATTTTCCAAAAGCACAAAAAGTAATGAAGCTTAATCCCATAAATGAGAAGAAAAAATGTTGAATTTTAAGAAAATCGGATTTTTGAATTTTTTCGAATTTTTGATAATTTTAGATTTTTTACCAAAGAGTCGAGACTATTAAATAAGTAAAGTATTTTCCAAAAGCAAAAAAATAATGAAGCTTAATCCCATAAAAGAGAAGAAAAAATGTTGAATTTTAAGAAAATCGAATTTTTGAATTTTTTCGAATTTTTGATAATTTAAATTTTTTACCAAAGAGTCGAGACTATTAAATAAGTAAAGTATTTTCCACATGAAAAAGCTTGACATTAAAAAATAAAAAATGCTAATACTTAACCCACAAAATTTAATTTTCAAAACAAACAAATGAATGCAGATAATTTGCTAACGGAAAGGAACTTACGATTATTATAATGTATTCTTTAAAACAATACAATTATTTTCATAAATACTAAAATTTCTCAAGAAAATTCAATTCTTTCTAAAAATTTGAAGAAATTTTTTTTCTGAAACTCAATTATTATCTTCAATATACAAATATAATAAAATTTCTCGAAAGAATTTAATTATTCTCAAAAAATTTTCTTTTTCGAAAGAATTTAATTATTTGCAAAAATTTTTAGAATGAATTCAATTATTTTCAATACAATTTTAATTAAATTTCTCACAAAAGAATTCAATTGTTTTCATGAATAATAAAATTTATTTAAAAAATTCTTTACAAGAATTTATCTATTTTTACAAATAAAAATTTTTTTTTAAAAATTCAATTATTTAAAAAATTTTTGAAAAATTCTTTTTCAAATTTAATTATTTAACTAAATAATAAGATTTTTTTTGCTAGAAATCAATTTTTTTCAACATAAAAATTTAATAGAATTTCTCCAAAAAATTCAATTATTCTCAAAAATTTTGATAAAATTTCTTGAAAGAATTCTTCACAAGAATTCATTTCTTTTCTTAAATAAGAAAATTTCTCAAAAAATTCAATTATATTTAAATATTTTAATAAAATTCTTCAAATTCAATTAATTAACAAAATACTTTAGTATTCAATTATTTTTCATTAAATTCTAATCAAATTTCTTCAAAAATTCAATTATTTTTAAAAATTTTATAAGAATTTTTTTTAAATTCAATTGTTTTTCTTAAACTAATTAAATATTTCTATAGAATTCGATTATTTGTATGAATAATAAAATTTGTTGAAACAATTCTTCACATGAATTTATTTTTTTTCTTAAATAAGAAAATTTCTCAAAAAATTAAATTATTTTTAAAAGGTTTAATAAAATTCTTCAAATTTAATTACTTGGTTAAACAATAACATTCTTCTTTAGTATTCAATTAATTTTAATTCAATTCTAATAAAATTTCTAGAAAGAATAAAATTATTTTAGAAAGATTTTATAAGAATCTTTTTCAAATTCAATTATTTTTCTTAATCTAATTTAATATTTCGATAGAATTCAATTACTTGTATGAATAATAAAATTTGTTGAAACATTTCTTCACATGAATTTATTTCTTTTCTTAAATAAGAAAATTTTTATTTTTAAAACTTTTAATAAAATTCTTCAAATTTAATTACTTAATTAAATAATAAAATTCTTTTTTAGTATTCAATTAATTTTAATTCAATTCTAATAAAATTTCTATAAAGAATAAAATTATTTTCAATGTAATTTTCATTAAATATCCCAAAAGAATTCAATTGATTTCATAAATAATAAAATTTCTTCAAAAATTTAATTATTTTCCTAAATATATAAAATTTTTCAAAAAATTTTGATTTTTAAAAATTTTAATGGAATTATTCAAATTTAATTGGTTTTAACAATTTTAATAAAATTCTTCAAATTTAATTAGTTTTTTAAAGAATAACATTTTTTGCTGGAATTTTCAGAAAAATATTGATTTTTGAATCATTTGAAAACTATTGGAATGAAATTAAAAAATAAAATTCAACACTTCTAGAAAGAAATTAATTTTCTAAATTATCAAATAATATTTTCTATAACAAAATTCAAATTCTAACGAAACAAAAAAACGACGTTCTTTTTAACCTTTCGAATCTTTAGGAACATAAAATTAATTCTTAAATTTATTTAAAAAAATCATCGATTTTTGAATAATTAGAAAAAATCGAAAAAAAATAAAGACTAAAATTTTGTATATTTTTTACAGTGAAGAGGCAGGAGACGACGATATAATATTCGAGGATTTCGCACGTCTGAGGTTGAAAGGAGAAGGTGATGCTTGACCAAACGAACAGAACGGTTGTACCTGTACGGCACGATAAATTGTATTAGTTTTCTCTCGTTTTTTTTTCATTAATATCAACATCTCAATATTCGAATTCAACGACTGTGGAGAAAACTGGTCTGAAAAACTCAGGGTTCGCCACAATTCAGGTAATCAGATCCATTCAGGAGAGGTTGACAATTAGAAAAAAGACTTTTAATTACAACCTTACAATTTAAAAGAAAAAAAAAAATCCAAAGTAATATTGCATTCAACGTTATGAAGGATTCTTGAACTAGACTTTAAATCGCTTTTTAAAAATTGAGACAAACTCTCTGTTTTTTGAACTTGAAAAATAGTACCTAAATATAAAAAAAATAGTTCTAAAAATAGTTCTAAAAATAGTTCTGAAAATAGTTCTAAAAATAGAACAAAAATATCAACTCGGAGAGTAAAGTTAAAAATTTTAAGGGCAATTAGACTTTATTTTTATTTGGGGAAAATTTGTTTATTACTAAATTATTTAATGAGAAGTTTGCCTCTCGTGTTTTTAATTAATTGAGTGAAACGATATTTTTTTTTTTGTACATAAAGAAGATTATTGACTAGCACGCAAGGTCTGTGTGTTTAAAAGAATTTTATTTCAGTATTTTTAATATTATTTATAATAAGTAATGTTTTACGCAACAGACCAAAAGTGGCACAAAAAAAAAACTTTTAAACGAATTTTTCTTTTTACAAAAAGTAACGGCACAAAAAAAAACTGAAAAATATTTTTTGCAGTCTCGTAAGACTATAAACATGGCAGAGAATATATTGCCACACAAAAGGACGAATTTTAAAATGTATATTGTAAAATGTCGAGTAAATAATTGAAAATGTAATTTTCATTTCTCGACTTGTTGTTCATCGATTGGCTCCCGGTTGTGTTTCGAATATGAAGTTTTTAATCCCACCGGAAAATCGGGGATTTTACTCAAGCCAACTTTGTTCAAAGTACAAGTGGAAATCCTTTCACGTTCGAATCGGATTAGAGTCTAAATTTTGAAAGTGCTTGCATGCTTTGCCGTTCGAACTTATACCAGTTTACTTGTGATTCAGAACTCGAAAATCTCAAATTGGAGATCGGCCAAGTCTCAAGGCTTAAGTATTTTTTTCAAAACGAACAAAAAAAAAGAATTGTTTTACAAATAAGAAATGAATTTTTAATATTTGACAATTTTATGAAATAAGTATGACAACTTGTAATAATGTTTCAACGATTTGTTCTCGTCTGTATAATGTAATAGTTCTACAATTTATTGTCTACGGTCACAATATGAGACACGACTGGAGATTAAAATGAAACTTGCTTAAGACTTAGATTTCGTTTCGTTAAAAGAAGAAAATTTCACAAGTCAGGGAAATAAAATCGGGGAAGAAAATGAAAATAATCAAAGTTTCACACAATAGATAAAAATTTCTCTCTGAATTTGCTATTAATCGCTCAATTAAAGGATTGCACAGTTTTTTGATATAATAGTTTTTTTATTAGAGCTTTTCTACTTTATTTACAATTTTGAAGAAAATAAATATTGTTTTAATTCGTTCTTTCTCTACTGATAATTTTCAGCTTTGCTTTCATTAATTTACAAGATTTTTTATGTCCTCAAAGTTCTGAACGTGTTCAAATGAATGAAATTAATGTTTTTCTCCATGAAATTAAAATTTTATTGCAATAAAAAATTCTATAAATTTTAATGAATTGAAAGAAAAAATAATAATAAAAATTAAAATTTTAATTAACTTTCTTGTAGATTTTATTGCGTCACGTATTAAAAAAATAAATTACAAAGATTCTAAATGTTTAATTTTGTTTCTGCTTTTTATAACAAACAGTCTTTTTTATATTGTTTTATTTTTTCATATTTCTTATAAAATTCTTTTTGAAACTGAATTTTTCAATTTATTGAAAATTCTCAAAAGAATTTAATTATTGTTAAAAATTTTAATATAATTCTTCTAAAGAATTCGATTATTTTTATAAATAATCAAATTTCTTGAAAGAATTCTTCAGAAGAATTTATTTGTTTTTATGAATAAACTGTCTAAAAAAATTCAGTTTTACATATTTTTGAAAATTGTAATAAAATTTTTCTTCAAAATCAATTATTGTCGTAAATAACTAAAATCTTTTACTGAAATTCTATTATCTTTAATGTACAGATTGAACAAATTTTTTCGAAAGAAACAAAATATTTTTAGAAATTTTTATAAAATTTTTCATAAGAATTGAATTATTTTCAAGAATTTTAATAAATTTGTTCGTAAGAATTAAATTATTTTTAAAAGTTTTAGTAAAAATTTTCATTCGAATTCAATTATTTTAATAAATAAGAAAATTACTTGAAAGAATTCTTCACAAGATTATATTTATTTTTTTTAAATAAAAAAATTCAAATTTTAATTCAATTTTAATCTAATTTGTCCAAAGAATTCAATTATTTTCAAAAATTATAAAATTTCTTGCCAGGATTCTTCACAAGAATTTATTTTCTTAAATAAGAAAATTTCTCAAAAAGTGCAAAGAATTTTAAATATTTTAATAAAATTCTTCTTCAAATTTAATTACTTTACTAAATAATAACATTCTTCTGTAGTATTTAATAATTTTTAATTCAATTTTAATGAGATTTATCGAATTAATTCAATTATTTTCAATTCAATTTTAATAAAATATCTCGAAAAAATTGAATTATTTTTATGAATAATAAAATTTCTCAAAAAAATCAATTATTAAAAAAAAATTTAAGGAAATTCTTCTTCAAATTCAATTATTTTTCTAAATAGTAACATTTTTTCAATTATATTTTAATTATATTCAATTTGCAAATTTAAAAATATTTTTTTTAAATGAATTCAAGTATTCTCGTAAATTTTGATAAAATTTCTCAAAAGAATTCTTGACAAGAGTTTTATTTTATTTTTACTTCTGACAATCTGTAATTTTTTAAAAATATTTATAGGTAGAAAAATTCAGTTCATTTTAATGTTCAGAACTTGTGGAACCTTTTTTTTGTTTAGAATATTAATAAAATAGCTTTTTTTAACAAAATACATTTTGAAAATGTTTTGCAATTTAAAAGTTGTGATCCTTTTTTTGATTTTTATTTTTAAAATTGTTTTCGAAAATTTTTCTACGATTTTCCCTTAATGTACGCTTTGAAATGCAATTAATATTTATAAACTTCAACTTTCTTGTTAAAGTTAAAGTTACCTGAGTATAAAGTTTTCAATGAAAATGCATTTCTGATTGAAACGTTCAGTATCCGATATTAACGAAATAAGAAGCTAAGTTGAGTGAACACAACGCTTTAATGTACAAAATGTAACTAGCAAAGTGTTTTTTTTTCTTTTTTTTCATGTTAATTTAATAATTTTCGCTGAATGTTATATCATGCCGAGCGCTCGCACAAATAAAGTACTTTTTTTGTACATTGCTTTTTCATCGCAGTTGAAAATTAATTAATTGAAAGTTAACGCTTATTACATTTATATTTAATATATTATATTTACATTATATTTGTATTTGTAATTTGTTTACATTGTTTGTATTTGTAATTTGTTCATTCGTAATTATTCAATTCATAATTTATTTATTTGTAATTTTTCAATTCGAAATTTGTCCACAATTTGTAATTGTTCAATTTTTTAATTTATTTTACAAATTTGTAATTTGTCTACTATATTCTTTGTAATCCGTTTACATTATTTGTAAAATGAACGAATTTTTTCAAGAAAAAAAACTTGATTTACAAATATTAGCAACAAAAAAAATTAAGTTATTTGAATACAAATATATGCTCATCGATTTAAGTCTCGTGTAATTGGTCAATTTTATTACGAATACGTAAACTTGCAGTCTGATTTTTAAATTAATACTAAAGTTAACTGTATTTTTTTACGCTTAAACGATGAAAAATCAAACTCGAACGTGTCGATAAAAATAAAATGTTTCTCTTATTCTTGAACCTAATTTTAAAATTTAATTTTTTACAATATAAGATAAAATAACGTTTAGAAAAAGAATTAATTCAATATTATACGAAAGTCGTGAAAGTATAGAGGATTAACTTGAGAACAGGGATAAAAAAAAGAGTTTTAAAAAACCACATTGGTAAACGTTGATATGTATACGTCCAATTTGTGGTTAATTGTAATTTTAAAAAAAATCATGTACTTTGGTTTATATTCCCTGAAGTTTTGAACGTTTGTATGAGCAAATTTTTTTTCTTTTATTTTTTTTATTTATTTTTCACTGTTTATTAGGTGAATAAATAAATTTTAAAAAAAATTAATGAAATAAAAGTAAAAATTAAATTAAAAAATGTGCTTTATGTCAAGATACAAATAAAAAATATTTAAAGAAGATATAATTTCTAACATTTTGAATTAATTATTTAGAAATTAAATTAAAAGAAAACACCATTTTTCTTTTCGGTAAGTTTGCACAATTCATTCCATCGTTCAAAACTTTGGACAACAGTCGATTTATTATCAAAAATGAATATCTACGATGGTTCTTGATTAATAGAAATTGTAGAAAAATAGAACCATTTCAAGTGTAAATGTCTATTTATCTATTTAAGCTAATTAAGAAAGAAATGTATACGCTACATTTTCATATTAATAATAATATCAGTGGCTTTTGACGTAATTGCGATATCAATTTTTCGAAAGTGTTTCGTTAAAAATCGAACAAAAATTACAAAAGAGAGAAAAAAAAGAAAACTTTGTAAAAGCACGCATATGAGACATAGATGGTCAAAAGTAGTATTTTTTAAATCGTTTTAGTACCTATGGAGTATACTTAGGCAGAAAAATAAAGTACTTCTTTATCAATACAAGTAAAATGTTGTTAGAAAAATTTTCAGAAATGAAAATCGAAATATTTAATTTATTTCGTTTATAAATTGAGTTCGAACTCTTTCGAAATTTCTTTTCTTTGTTTGTAAATTTTTTCCTTTGTACAAATTGTGATTGATGTGTTTTATTAACACGTGGGTGAAATTCACAACTATGATCAACAATTTAGGGAAAAAATAATTCTTTTTACGCAAAAAACTTTTGTTTCCTAAGTTGTTGGCCAAAAAATATTGTAAAAAATATTTTTTTATCAGAAATTGAATAGAAAAATATATTTTCTTCTAATTCGTTGATTATAAAAATTATAAATTATTATTATATTATTATATAATAATAATGATAATAATAATAATAATAATAATAAAAATAAATAAAAAAATGAAACTCAAAAAAGAATTTTGAGTAGAAAATTATTTTTTTTCTATTTTGCTGATTGTAAACGTTGTAAACCTCACGATAGTTTATTTATTTGCATTTATATAGTTTTAACAATGCGAAATTATTTAATAATATAATATTTAAATATGAAATTAAACCTAATAATAATATTAAATAAAAATAAACATTTCTTTCGAAAGTAAACGAAAATTATAAATAAAACACAAAAATACGATTACATTTCGCTAAGGTAAATAAAAATTGATCGTTCGAAACATTCCAAGGAAGCTAAAATTAAAAAAGGGTTTTAATTACTTGTATTTTTAATAGATCTACTTTATCTACGAACACATTGCAATTCCAAAGGAAAACTTTTGCTTTAATAGGTACGAAATGTTGTCTAGTAAATGTCCAATTTATTATTTATGTCAATAATATCAAATAGAGAAAACACAAGTCTAACAAAAAAAAAAGAATAAAATAAAAAAAAATGAGAATGTAACAATGTATGTGAGAGAAGGAAACGAATGAAAGTGTGAATTACAGTCACGCTTATTAATTGTCAATTTTCTAGATATCGAATTTTTTATCAATCAATCGAAAAATATAGAAAATTTTTCTTATATCTCTTATAATTAAAAATGAAAGAGATTCTAGATTTCTGGATTACAGGCAAATTGTCAATTCTTTCAATATTAAAGTTCTTCAATCCGAATCAAACGAAAGTATTACTTTTTAATTAGGAATAATTTAAATTTGCCTTTGGTCCGTAAATCCTTTTTTTTTCAAACAAAAATTTCCCCAAAAGAAAAAAACTATATCAAGAACACATTTTTTCTATATAATGTTCTTGAATTGACTTTGGATTGACTTTCAAAAAAAGGACTGTTATGACTATTTTTTAAATTCTGTATTACTTCAATAAGACTTTTTTAAAAAAGTTTTTTTTCGAATGAATTTAAAAATCGAATTTTTCCACCTCTTCTGTACTTTATATTGTAATCTTTTATAAAGATTAAAGACTGTTTGGAGAGATTTAAAAGTGTGACTGGAATCGAGTATGTTTATATATAATATTATAATGATTGTGAATAATTGTTTCATTATGAAAATAAGTCGTATATATAAAGTGAATAATTTTACGAAAAAAATAATTGACAAGAATTCAGAGATATTAGTTGTTGAATGAATGAAAAAAGGAACATTCAACAGAATTCACTGAAAATTATTTATAATCTATATATATATATATATTTAGTACTCAGTGTAAATTGCATTTAAAAAAAAATACTGAGAACTATCGTTAAATAATCTTTTTTAAAACAAATTGAGTCCTTGTTTGTACGAAATTTTCAAAAAAATAAATTACTAGGTGTAATAAAAAGTAAGTGACGAGGCGTATATTAAACGTGTATAAAAAAAATGAAATAGTTAACAATGAAAAATATATATATATATAAATAATATATTATATATGTAAAAAATTGTGTATTCTCGTATTATGAATGTAGTAATAATAACTTAATAAAATATGGAAAAACTAAGTCTGTTTTGTTTTTTTAAGCATGATAAAATTTATTACTAAAATTATATTTTTTTGTGGGATAAAATTTATTGTTTCTTTTTTTTAATTTAAAGTTGCATAGGATTTATAATTTTTATCTAAGAAAATTTTAAATTACGTGAAAAATTTTGTCGTGGGTAAAAAATTAAGTTTTTGAACGTAAGAAGAATTTACACAAATTTTTTGCTTTCTGTACCTTTCTTAGGAGTACGTTAAATATTTTTTATGTTTTTATATTTATTATTTATAGACAAAAAAATGTATTTTGAAATAACTAATAATGCTTTTTTTTTTGTAGAAAAGTTAGCAAGGAAGAACACGATTACTTCTGACGATGATAAGAGTAGAAAACGAGAGTTTCGTTTTTATCATCAATTTTAATGATTAGCATGTGCTGCTTTCTGATGGGGATAAGTCGTCAGCAAAGTCTGTTTAGTCAAAGCTCAAAGGCACTAGGTACTGAAATTTTATTAAATCAACTATAAGTTTATAATCATAAGAGAAATTAACTCTTTTGATAAAATATATCAACTCCACCACCTTCTCCGGACATAATCTCTCCAATCTCCAAACAAACAACGAAGAAACAGAATTTAATTTGGACTTTTAAGAAGAGTTAAATCCACAATCTACACAAATGAGAATCATTTGGAGAGTTGATGATACACTGGGGTAATTAAATGTCAATCTATTTGTGATAATTATTCAGAGAGAAGTACAAGTGCTGAAGAAAAATGGATTGGAAGAAGACGTCAGTTATTCTTTGTTTATTTGGATTTTTGAAAGAATTTCGACCCTCGGAACCTTTTGTAACAAGTTACTTCACAGGATCGTGGAAAAACTTTACAACCGAACAGGTAGAAATTTACATTTCCAAGTTAATTTGAATATTTAGAAATAATAGTTCTAAGTAAGAATGAAACTAAATAGAAATATTTTTTAATTTTTATTAATTGTTATTCGTGTTGAAAAAAATGATCTTGAATTGAATATAATCAGACGTAGAGTAATCATGATCAATTAGGGCATCAGTTAAGTTTTTCTGATTGTCGATTGTAAAAAAGAAATTTAAAAAATTTGTTTTGCTATAATTAAAAATATACTCACAATCATTGTAATTTACAATTAAAGAATTCAATTTTATCGAAAAATATATAAATAAAATGAGAATCGATAAAGTAAAAATTAAATTTTAGTTAAATTCTTTTTAAATTAAATTTTATTCACAAAGATCTAAATTTATTGACAATAAAGTTTACAACGTTTATAATCATCGCTCAGAAGAAAAAAATATTTTTCACTTTGAAACCGGAATGGAATTTTTTTTCATTAATAGAAGTTGTCGACAAAACAATAATGATTAGAATTTTTTGTTTATAAATTTTTCTTTTTTAAATTAAGTATCAATCAAGAAACTATGTCAACGTAAAACACTTTTTAAAACATTTTGAACTAAACGAAATATTTTTTGTGCTCATTTTTAAAAATCACTAAATTGAAATGAAAAATATTCTAAAACATTAAGTAGTTAAATTAGTTAGAAATTGATTTTCCAATCGTAAAAACAGTTTTTTGAACAAATTACAAATTAAAAATAAAATAAAATTTTAATTTCTTTAATTTTCAGGTCAATCAGGACATTTATCCTTATGGAACGTACAGCAATTTGGCATTCTTAATTTTTATATTCTTGATGACTGATTTTTTACGATATAAACTTGTTATTATTCTATGTGGATTATCTGGAATGGCAACATTTTTAACGCTATTGCTTGGAAAATCATTACTTGAAATGCAAATAGTGGAAATTTTATATGGATTATTTATTTCGACTGAAGTTGCTTATTATACGTATATGTATGCGGCGGTGGATAAAACACATTATCAAAAAGTCACAGGATTTACGAGAGCCGCCTTTTTATTCGGGAGATTTTTGTCTGGCCTTGTAGCACAATTAACTGTATCTTATGGACTCTTGGATTATGAGCAATTATTGTATTTGACAATAACTGGTATTAACATTTTATCATTTGCTTTTATCTAAATTCAATTCTATTTTTCGCTTTGAATAATCTATTCAATGAGAAATGTGGCAAATTCTATTTTTTTAGTTGCTTAAACTTTTTTAAATTTAAATGAGATAATTTTACTATTTAAATTTACAATTTTACTGTTTTAAATATAAATTTAAATTTGCGTTTATTTTTTGCTATTTTATTAACGAAAATTGTCAGTAAATTAAAATTTTAATTTGGATTTATTTTTTTGCTATTTTTTTAACGAAAATTGTCAGTAAACTAAAATTATTAGTTTCAATTTTTTGCTATTTTATTAACGAAAATTGTTAGTAAACTGCAATTTAAATTTGGAATTTTTTTTTTTTTTTGATATTTTTTTAACGAGAATTGTTAGTTAACTAAAATTATTAGTTTCAATTTTTTTGATATTTTATTAACGAAAATTGTTAGTAAACTGCAATTTAAATTTGGAATTTTTTTTTTTTTGATATTTTTTTAACGAGAATTGTTAGTTAACTAAAATTATTAGTTTCAATTTTTTGCTATTTTATTAACGAAAATTGTTAGTAAACTGCAATTTAAATTTGGATTTATTTATTTTTTTTGATATTTCTTTAACGAAAATTGTTAGTTACCTAAAATTTAAATTTGTATTAATTTATGTTTCTTGTTATTTTATTAACAAAAATTGTTAGTCAACTAAAATTTAAGTTTGAAATTATTGTTTTGCTATTTTACTATCGAAAATTATTAATAAACTAAAATTTTAATTTGGAATAATTTTTTTTTTTTTTTAACAAAAATTGGCAGTAAACTAAAATTATTAGTTTCAATTTTTTGCTATTTTATTAACGAAAATTGTTAGTAAACTGCAATTTAAATTTGGATTTATTTTTTTTTCTATTTTTTTAACGAAAATTGTTAGTCAACTAAAATTTAAATTTGAAATTATTGTTTCGCTATTTTATTAACAAAAATTTTTAGTAAACTAAAATTTTAATTTGGAATAATTTTTTTTTTTTTTTTAACAAAAATTGGCAGTAAACTAAAATTATTAGTTTTAATTTTTTGCTATTTTATTAACGAAAATTGTTAGTAAACTGCAATTTAAATTTGGATTTATTTTTTTTGTTGCTATTTTTAAATTTTTTAATTGCTATTTTTAAAATTATTAGTTTCAATTTTTTGCTATTTTATTAATAAAAATTGTTAGTAAACTAAAATTTAAATTTGCATTTATTTTTTTTCTATTTTATTAACGAAAATTTTCAGTAAACTAAAATTTAAATTTGCATTTATTTCTTTGCTGTTTTATTAACGAAATTTGTTAGTCATCTAAAATTACTAGTTTTGAATTTTTTTTTATATTAAATTGTTAGTAAATTTTTTTAGATTTTTTTTTAGTAGATTCTTGATTTGAATAATTAGAGTAAATAAGCAATTATTTATTTTTTTCAGCACTTGGTCTCTCAACCGCCTGGGCTTTTCTATTACCAGGGGTTAAGGGCTCGATTTATTTTCATCGAGTCAATAATAATGAAGACTTAACACTGTCTAATGCTAATATGAAATTAGAACAGGAAAGTGAATCTCAAACTATAACGAGGAAATCGAAAAATATTTTACTAAAATTGAAAGAAGCGTATGCTTATTTATGGAAGGATTTTCTAAAGGCTTTTACAAATAGTCACGTTGTTAAGTGGTCCTTGTGGTGGGCTTTTGCAACTTGTGGATATGTGCAAGTTCTCAATTATGTACAGTTAGTATGGGAGACTGCTTATGGAAAAGATCAAAAGAAAATATTTAATGGTGCAGTTGAGGCTTTATATACAATAATTGGTGAGTATTTTTATACTTTATCGAGTCTCCAAATTTTTCAAGGTTCAAATAAAGTCCTTAATTTTTTGAAATTAATTTCTAAAATTAAAAAAAAATGTTGTTTTTGCTTTTTATAATTTTCAGTAATTTTCCAAAATATTAACATTGACGAAAATTTAATTTGAGCAAGAAATAAATAAATTTCATTTATTTGAACGTTCAAAACTTTAGGACGATTTTTTATACTAATAAAATTTAAATTGAAAGAAGTAACAAAAATATTTTCGTTCATTTGAATGTTGAAAACTTAAGGGAACATTATTAGAATTTTATTTTTATTTAAAATTCAATAAACAATAGTCTTAAAGAAAACATTTTTTTTTTTTTTGAAAAAAGAAAGAAATAACCTTCTGTTATTTTATAAACTTTGACAAAAATTGAAATAAAAGACAATAAAAAATGTAAATTTTATAAATTGTTGTACAAATAAATATATTTTAGGTGCAGTAGCAGTGTTTGGAGTTGGAACATTACGAATTAATTGGCATCTATTTGGAGAGATAATTCTATCGATATTTTCTATTATAGAAGGTATCTTACTATTTGTGTCTTTTAAAAGTTATGATATCTGGTTATTATATGGGGTCTATATTGCTTTTGGTGTTATTTATCATACTGTGATAACTGTGGCCAGGTATGAAAATTTTAAATTCAATTAGGTCGACTCTCAATTTGCCAATCTAGAATTTCCTTCAGAATTTGTAAATTTAGTTAAGAAATTTGGAAAGAATTAGAAATCTTAAAAAGTGATTTTACTGCAACACTAGTATTCTATTAATTCAATAAGATTTAATAATAAAAAATTTCTAATATTAGCAAAATTAGTATTAATAATTAGTAAGAATTAAATTAAATTTATTAATTTAACGTTTAATAATGAAAGTATTTTCTTTTTTGCAGTTTCGAAGTTGCGAAACACTTGTCCGAAGACAGTTACAGTTTGGTTTTTGGAATAAACACTTTCCTGGCACTGGTTCTTCAAAGTCTGCTAACTTTTATTGTGGCAGGTGGAAATGTTCTCATTCTCAACATCAGACAACAGGTAAAAAAATTTAGTAACTCGGTTACAATTATTTTTTTATTATTAGCCAATTTTTCTTATTCTTGATAAAAATCCATTTTTTTAATTTTATTTTCTGATCCTAAAGTTCTGAACGTTCGAATGAAGGAAATTTGTTTATTTCCTCTTCAAATTAAATTTTTATTACAAAATATTTTGCGTCAATGTAAAATAGATTAATTATAAAATTTCTAAATGTAAAATTTAAGTTTTTTTTATTTTTAATACAATATTAGTAATTTAAAAATATTTTTGATAAGAAATATTTCGTTCTTTGAACGTTAAAAATTTTGTGGTTCAAATGAAATTTTTGTTACTTCTTTTAATTTGTATTTTAATTCAAAAAAGTTATTTTGTATATTAAAAACTTAATTTTTCCTTAAATGCTTACATTTAGTATTTAATTTTCATATTATTTTTCTCTTTTTAGTATTTTTCGAAAATATTGAAGAAAAAGAATTTTATTCATTTGAACGTTAAAAATTCTAGGAAAATTTTTAACGAAATTTAAACTTCTGTAAAATTTAATATTTTTACATTAAATAACTGAAAATTATTGAACTAATAATCGAGTAGAAATTGTTTCGATATCGATTAGCAGAAAGTAATTTAATAAAACTCTGAAAACCCAATTTTTTTATTTCAGTTTCTCGTCTACAGTGGATATTTCGTCGCTCTTGGATTAATTTTCATGATTATGGCCTTTTTCACTATTAACAATTACCGAAGACAAGGCAGAAATTTACAGTTTTGGCAGAGTGTAGATGAAACGATCAGTACAAGTTGATTTCTAGTTAAAATTTTATCAACTGTAGAGGTAATGACATAATTTATCAAAAATATTACGTGGGTGAAATTAACAACGTTTATTGTCAACGATTGAGAGAAAAAAGTATTTTTTATCCAAGAAAAGAATATTTTTTATTTACAAGAACGTAAAATTGTAACTTTTTCTTTCTTAAATTGTTGACCAAGAAAGACTGTTAAAAAATTTTTCTATACAAAAATTTGAATATAAAAATATTTTTTCTTCTAAATTGTCTATTTTATTATAAATGTTGTAAACTACACAAAAAGTGAAATATTTATTAATCAATGGCTGTAAATATAAGAAAAATAATTAAAGAAGTCCAGTTTACTTCACAACGTTTAGGATCAACAATTTAGAAGAAAAAATATTTCTCTACACAAATTTTTAATTGAAAATGTTTGACAAACTTTCTTGATCTATAAAAAAAAAATAATTTTTTTTTTGAGAAAAAAAGGAAAAAGAAACTAAAGAAAGAAATTAGAAAGAAAAATTTGTAAACAAAAAAAATTTTCATTCTTTTCTACTTGAAAATTATCTTTTTTCTTTCAATCGTTGAATACGTTGAATATAAACGTTGTGACTTCATTGACGTTTAAAGAAAATAAATAAGTCTTATTAATTTTAATTTACAGATTACAGAATTTAGAACAATTTGGAAACGTTCTCTGAATATGCCGAGAATTATGTTCAAGGAAATGATATAAATTTACAACGCTTTTGACGTAATTTAGATTTTTCCAGTCAGAGAAGATTTTTTATATTAAAGTTCTTAATCTATAAGGACTTTATTTTTCTAGCTAATACGATTTTTAAAAAATAGCTTTTTTTATTCAATTTATGTCGACAATTAACTTTTTAAAGCGTTTTCATGATTTTTACTTTCTTTTTTAACAAAAAAAAAAAAATACTTGGTTTTTTAAATATTTAAAATTCTATTATTTACAAAAAAAGGTTTTACCTTATTTTTTAAATATCGTCTGTTACCGTGTGAATATTAGGAAAAAATTTGTCTGTTGTCAATTGTTGTTGATGTTTTGTTACAAAATAGTATTTTTGATATAGAATAAATTAAATAAGACTGAAAGAGAGTTATATTTTCTTTTCTCAAAGGAGAAATTATATTTTCATTCAGATTAATGATCTACAAATTCCGAACGTTCAAATGAAGGCAATTTTTCCTCGATATAAATATTTTTAAAAATTAATAACTAGTAAAAATCAAAAACGAAACTAAATATTAAAAAACTATAATAATTTTTTTTACCCCACGAAATATTATTGTAATAAAATTTGAATTTCAAGGAGAAATAAATACATTTCGTTCATTTGAGCATTCGGAAAAAAATTAGTAATGAATAAAATTTAGTAAATTTAGTAAATTCAGTAAATTTTGTAAATTTTGTAAATTTAGTAATTTAGTAACTTTAGTAACTTCAGCAGCTGTAGTAAGATAGAAATAAATAAAATTAAATATTAAAATATTTCATTTTTCGAAATTTTCAACTTTTAATATTTTTTCTATTTTTCACTGAGGGTAAAATAGGAAAAATTAAAACTTATTAAAAGTGTAGACAGCTTCCTGGACATTAATGGTACTTGCGGGTCAGATTATAATATTAGGATTGTGAGCAATAGAATGCAACGTTGCAAATCAATTGAGAAGATAAGTATCAACGAATCAATCGTTATTGAGCAATGATGAAAATGAACTTGAATAAAGTCGATAGATTATAATATTATTTCTGGATCGAGAAATATTGTAGTAAAAATATGAGTAACGTAATATTTATTTAAACAGATATTTATCAACGTCAATTGCTTGAAACAATTGCAAATTTGTTTGAAGAAAATATGTGTTATTGTAATAATAATAATAATAATAAATGCCTTGGAGTTTACAGAAAAACCATTATATATATGAAGTCACTAAAGAAAATAAAGAAAAGAAATATTTACATTTCATTTTGAGATTATTTTAGACTACATATTATCAATTTTCTCTTATTGGATACCGCGAGGGGGACAATACTTACAAGTGGAAAAATTCTAATGTGACATTCAAGAAATGATGATAATAAAAGAGAAGGTGATTGATTATTATCTACATTCAATAAATTCGATTCGAAAAATAATAGAAAAAATCGGGAATAATAAATTAATAAATAATAATAATAAATATTTCCCTCATTGTATTAAATTTTTTATTTATGAAATTTGTAAGTGCATATATTGGCTTGTAAAAATTTATGATTAAAAAATTTAGATAAGCTGTAATTATAGTTTAGAATTTGCGATTATACTTTTTAGTTAATGGTTAATGTTAATATTTTAACATTTATTTAAATTTATTATGTAGAGTAAAATACAGGTATTTTGTATATATATTTTCTCTAGCATTATATTATACTTTGAAAATTTTTAATTACACATAAAAAAGAGAATATTCGCAAAATACGATTGAGAATAATAGCTTTGTTTGTGTAAGTAAAATTTTCGAATGATATTCAGTCAAAGGTCGAAGATAAAAACAGAACCCCCTGCAGATCACTTTATACTCTCGATGGTTAACTGCCTTACAGAGATCCCTTGGTTTCGTAATATTTTACTTATCTCCTGAATGTTTACTCTCGAAAAGCAACTTTTCAACGCGATAGGAAAAAGTCACATATTTTTTTCAATTAAAATATCTTCATATCAAATCGAATGGTGAAAGTGATAATTCTTATATTTCATTTAATTTTAAAGTTTTGACAAGAGTTGCATTCTTTAATTAGAGAATAATTGATATTTATTAATTAGGGAGCAATAATTGTTACTATAAAAGAAATTGTTTCCTTTTTACGAAATTTATAAGTATTTTAAATACTTTTGCTCCTTTTGCTTGTTTAGAAATGTGACAAAAAAATTGAGGTTATGTTTATATTTTTCATTATTAAAATACGCAAAAGTGGATCCGCTTTGAATAGAAATTACTTGTTTTACTATTTACTACAGCTAAAATAATCTATAAAAATTGATTTTTAGTTTGAAATATTAAACACAGAAACCCACTTCAGGTAAAAATAGTACAAACATAACCTTAAAATTCTTTCCCTTCCTCGGAAGTCACAAATATTTGTACCATTTTTGTTTTGTTTGAAAAAAATCATAAAGTCATAAAAAAATTCAATGTAAGAATTGACATAATCGATTGATTTTTGCAGAAATGGAGAAGAAGAAAATTTCAAGGCCAAATTGATAAACGTGACGGTACATAATTTTTCTAATAAAAAAATGGCCAAAGAGTGAAGCAATTATGTTGGAATTCTCGCGTCGACAAAGAAAAAGAATGTAAGTTTTTATTTAGTTTTCAAAGTTATAAACATACTTACATATATCATTGTTTTAAAGCATTTTTCTAACAATTTTAGAACAATTTTAAAAAAAACTGTTGTTATATTATAATAAAGAACTGGAAATGGAGTAATTGCTTCTTCAAGAAATAAAATTTTAATTTTTATTTCTTATTGCAGTATAGGAAATGTTTTTAAACTTTAGATAAAATAATATATAATTCAACTTGACTTTGAAATTGACATCGACATGCAAAGTCGAAAACTATTACTTTTAGTCACTAACCTGTTTAATTTATTTCATTTATTTGGAGAGTTGAAAAATGTTCTCCTTTTTTTAACCTAAAACTGTCAAAAAACTTGTTTTCCTTTTGGATTTGTGACATTTGTGAAAACATTTTTTGACGCTAACTTCAGGTTTCTCAGACAATATTGTCTCAACATTGCAGGACAATTAAAAAAAATGAACTGTAAAATTGAGACATTTATGATTTTTTATCAAGAATAGACGAAACAAAGGAATCTTATCGAATTTTTAATTCAGAATCATAGTTGAAATAATAATTGAAAAATTGAAATTGAATTGATAAATAAAAAAGAAAAAGTAGTTTCGAAAAACTACATTATTCCCGCTATAGAAACGCCATCTATTTTCCCATATGATCGATGTTGACTGACAGACAACTTCAGACTAGGCAATTAAATGCGAATAACGATTCCACTGGAATTTAAAGACCAAATAGTAAATAACAGTAAACCTGTATTTGTAATACGTCACTTCCTTTAATGAGTAATAGTTCTAGTCTCTGTTTTTTCACTTGTATATCTTATTATTTTTGACACAGTTAGCTTTTTTGAAATAATTTACTAATCGTTTTACGTCAGTACGGTCAGTATTACATTTTAGCAATAATATTTGTAAAACGTGTGATTTAATTTATTGACTACTTTCTACTGTGCGCGGTAAATAAAATAAAGATCGGACAAAATGACAGAACATCTGAAAGAAACGTTAAAACACGAATGTTTATGCAAAGGATGTCTTGAAAAGTAAGTTTATTTACAGTAGTAAACATTAGTTAAGAACAGTTAAGAATAAGGTTTTAATAGCAATTTTACACATAACCTTGTTACAATACAAAATTGCAATAACAATTTCCACCAATAATTAAAAATACAGTAATGACAGATTAATTTCGCGGTATTAATTGAAATACATGTGTACCAGCTGTCAAACACATGATTATTTTTCAATGATTGTGCATTACAAGTTTCCTTTTCGGTGATTCCCCCCAGTAATTATTACTGTCTCATAAATGGAATTTTTGTTTATTTTTTTTGGTACTGATTTTCCAAATATTTAATTACATTTTAATTTTTAATTTTACTTTATTAAATACTATATAATTGAAAATTAATAACTATAAATTCTTTTTGTAAATAACACATTAGTCTGATAATGCATGACACTGCAACAATTTTTACCATTAAATAAACATTTCTTACAAAACTAAATATATATATATAGAAATTATCGATTTAATTGAAATTTGATTGATTAAACTTTAAACGGAAATCAATTGAAATTAGATAAATCGAAAGTGAATTCTTCTTTTATGACTGCTCAGATTAATAATGAATGTAGGCCATTTATTTTGCACTGCTACTCGGACATTGACTTATTATAGGCCAACTATACACTGAATACAATAAAGTTTCGTTTAAAATTCTTTTATATGTTCATAATATTTCATTTTTACTTTCAATTGATAATACATTCCATTTATTACTTTTTGTGTTCGGAATATTTCTTTTTTTATTGTTTTTAATAAACTTTTTTTGTTTACAATAATTTTTTCTAAACAATAAATTATTAATTTATTATGCTGTATTTTATATATTTTTTAGTAAATATTTATTAAATATAATAAAATATTTAAATATAATATAAATTATAATAAATATAATGCAAAGTAAAAGAAATATATTTTCGAATTTTTTCGGAATTATTTTTAGTTTCAATTAATTTTAATTAATTTTAATTAATTTTAATTAATTGTAAATAATTAATTGCAATTATAATTAAATTAATTTTAATCATAATTTTAATTTTCAAAATTAAATACATTAAAATATAAAAACATTTTTTCAGTCATTATTTATTTATTTCATTGTTTCTAAAATTTAGTTTCGTTTTGTTTTCAAATATTCTTATCATATTATCAATTAATTTTTTAATTGGTTTTTCCATTTACCAAACAACCTTGAATGATTCATGTCAAAATTACTATAATTAAAATAATACGGAATTACAATATTATGACGCATTAATTTCTTAATTTTTAATAAGAATTGGAAAAAAGTAATTTCAACATTGCAAATTTTGAAACTAAAAAAAATAAAATCTTTCACTTTAAGCCTTTATTTCTGTTTATATTTTTCAAGTTCGTCAATTTGTAATTGTTGTTGGAGATCAAAAAAAAATTGGACGTTAATTTTCGAAAAAGCATAGAATGAATAAGTTTTATTGCTCGCACTTACTGATATTGTAGTTTTAAAGAAGTGTATAATGAATAATAATGAGGAAAAAAAGAATATTATCTTAATTACGTCAATTTAGATATTTTATGTGCTAGATGCCAATTATTATCTGTGTTTACATATATTTTCGTAAATTATTATAATAATCTTATATTGATACTTGAATAAGGGGATGATGATGATGGATTTTGTCAACAAGGTAACAATTCAGAGTTCATACCGTATCAATATTAATATAGTGCGTTATATTATTACACTTATCGGACATGTAGAGTTCATTTCACAATCGTAACAATTTTTTTTAAAGAAAAGAATATCAAACACTTTTTAAGTTTTAAGCTTAATCTTACATTCTTATTTACATATCAAAATGATCTAGTTTTCCCACACAAATATTTTGGATGTGAAATAGTGACGAGAGATGATGAAAAATTCTTTGAATCTGACTAAATAAATACATTTATCTAAACTTGAATTTTTTATCAAAATTTATATTTTATTGAATAATTTATTTTATAACGGTTAGGAATTTATTAAAATATAATTATTTAATTTTAATTATATCAATTCCATTCTTTCTTAATTCACAATAAATACTCTGTAATTATTTTTAATTTCTATGAGTAATTTTTTATGAACAAGGAAAATTAAAACTTTTAAATTCATATTAAAAATTAAAATTAACTAAAATTTTAATTTTATTCATTATATTTTCGTAAAAATAATAAATAATAATAAAAAATAAGGTTAATTTAATATTTTTATTATTTTAGTTTTTAATTTATTTCTTGTATTTTTTGAATATAAAGTCGACATTAAAGAAAAAATTACATTTGTAATTTTTAGAAATAATGGAATTTCGAAAAAATTGAAATTGTGATAATAAAAAATTTTAATTATTGTCGAGTAATGAGAAACAATATAATTATTTAAAATTATTCAACAAAATTACTGAAGCTTATAAGTTAATTTAGAAATTCTATAAAAATTAGATTTCTGTAAGATTGATAAGCTTTCTCCAAGGTATAATTCAATTCCCGAAAATAATTAATTGCGAAAAATTCTTAAATAATTGGAAATTTAGTCAAATTTTATAAAGTTTTTATATTTTATAGAAATTAATTACAATTTTTTAAAAAATATTCTTGTCTTTGAAAGAAAAATATTTAAAAATTAGAAGAAATTATTTTCAGAGTAAATGAATAGGTATAAATAAGTAAGGCAAATTTATTTGAATAATAAATTTTATTCATTAATAAATTCTTTTTTTATATGTAAATATATTTTATTAAATCATTTATTTTAATTAACTTTTATTTTGTTTATACAAAATAAAAGTTATTTATGTTTATTATTATTTATTTTATTTTTATTAATTTTATTTATTTGTTAATTAAATAGCAATTTTCTCCTGAGGATGAAAAATATCGTTTTTGTATAAATTAGAACTGAATTTAATTCGAATGCTTCATATCAGGGAAATTAATTATTAAACATATTTTTTTATTCACACTATTTAGTAATATTTGTTGCTCCTAATTATCATAATATTAGCCAACTATTCTATGATGCAATTTTTTTTATGCATTTTTTTTTTTTTTTTGCAATTTGTTATCATCGAGTATTATTATTTATAAATTGTGTCATACAATTTCTCAAATGTGCTCTGTTTAAATAATGCAGTAATTTCTATTATTGTTATTATTATTATTATATTATTTTTATTATATTATTTTTATTATATTATTTTTGTTATTATTTTTGTTATTATTATTGTTTTTAATTTTGTTTCTAGTATTGTTATTATTGCCATTGTTATTAACTGCAGTTTTTATTTTAAAAATTAATAATATACCGATTTTAGAAAGTCGAAATAATTATTATTTATTAACTATGTGGTTTAAAAAATAAGGAAATTGTAGATAAAAAAAATTCTATTACGTATTCTATTTTTGTTGACTAAAAATTCTGTGGCATTTAGATAAAAAGGAAAAAGAAGACAAAAAAGGGATTAAATTGTTTCTTGAAATTTTTTTTTTCATTTATATAATTGTAATGCCAAAAAAGTAGAAAGAATTGAGTTATAAAAAAAGTGAATGAATGAAAAATATTTGAAAGAAGGTCATTGAGTTTTTTGTATATTCTCGTCTCTTATAAAAATGTTTTTGATTTATATAAGCATCCGCAGTGTGCTTATAATTTAAGCAGGAAAATCAAAAAATAATTATTGTCTCTTATTTACAAGGAAAATTTACTCTCTACTTGAAATTTAAATATTTTTTGTATATCCTCGAAACTTTTTTAAATGCAAAACAAATTTTCTAAATGACTAACATTCTGAACTGACTGAAATAAAAATCAAAAACGTAATTTAAACAAATTTTCCAATTTGTTTAAACTACGGTTTTGATTTTTAATTTTTGAAAGTTTGAATATTTTTCATTTCTTGACGCAATATTATTACTATAAATTTTGATTTTTCAAAACGAATTTTTTTCTTGTTTAAATTAAAATTAAGATTAAAAGTGTCATCTAATTATATTCAACAAATGTTCTCAAAATTTAAATTAGTAAAAAGTTTTACTAATTTAAATTAGTGACTGACTTTTTGTTTTTTGAATAAGTAAATTTTACTAATAAATAGTAATTTTTACTAATTTATTAGTAAACTTTACTGATTCAAAAACAAACGGTCAGTCACTACACTAAGAAAAAATTTTTTTTAATTTAAAAAAACCGGGAACTTTTTCACCAAATTAAAAAAAGTTTTATTATTTTTATTTGTTTTTAAAAAATCGCTTTTTATTTTATAAAATTCAACTGGAAATAATTGAATTTGTTAAAGAATTTCATTGAAAACTTTTTAACAAATCGAATTATCAAAGTATTCGAATTTAATAATTGATAAATAATTTAATTTTATAATGAGACGCATTCTGTATTCATGTTTCTTAGTGCGTACATTAATAATTAAAATTTTTATTGAAATTGCTTTACATTCTATTAAAAACCCAAATAATTAAATTCTTTCAAAAAATTTTATTTAAATTTTTCGAAAATAAGCAATGGAAGTTAGTCACAGTAATTACAATTTTATTTTTAAAATATAAAGTTCCTCTTAAAGTTTTAAATAAATTTTTTGCTTCTAAAAGTTATATTATTATATTATTATTCAATAATTATAATTATTGAACTTCTCTTAAATTTTTATAATTTCAAATTTCTGAATGTTCAAATAATTGCTATTTATTTATTTCTTGAGCAAATTAAATTTTTATTACTTATTATTAAGTACACAATTAATTATTACTGCTTATTATTTTCAAAAATGTTAATAAAATTCTTCGCAAAAATTCAATTTTTTTCATAAATAATAACATTCTTTGGAAGGATTTAATTACTTTTATAAATAGTAAAATTCTTTGCAGAAACACAATAATTGTAGTATCAATACATTTTAATAAAATTGAATTAATCAAATTTTCAATTATAATTATGAACAGACAAGATTATTTTAAAAAATAGAAAAAATTCTTTGTTTAATTCAATTATTTTCCAAATTTTTAAATAAAATTATTAAAAAAAATATTATTTTCCAAAAATTTGAATATACTCGTGAATTTTTTTATTTAAAAATAATTTTTGCCTGATAATTATGTTTGATTCAAATATATTATTTTCTCAGTGTAATTCAAACTTGTAAACATTTTTATAAATTCAAATTTGTAAACATTTTTACAAATTCAAATTTAGAGAAATAATTTACAAAAACGTGGGTGTAAATTTTTCTTAAAAAAAAATGAGGCGGAAATGAAAGAAAAATATCTAGTTAAACATTTGTAACTTCAAGAACATTTGAAAATTGAGGAAATAATTTTTTATAGTATAAAAAGTATGAAAGTTGAAAAAAAATAAAAAATAAGTAAATTGTTGAAGTAAAATTTTTCAAAATGACAAAGTAAAATTATAATGCAGAGTACAATTGTATAGTATAATTATATTTTCGGAAAATTATTATAATTGTGAAAAAATGGTGCAAGAACGTTTAATTTAGATGAAATAATATAATATGTGGATGAAACCATAAGTTATATTATATATATTGAGAGACGGAGATGTATTTAAATGATCTTTAAGACAAGTTTCTGAATATCTTAAGGCAATTGAAGCACATACTCCATAACTACGTTTATAATGGGTTATCATTATATGCCCCTGCGAGTTCGAGGCTGGTTTTTTTTATCTTGACGTTCATTGGGTGCCGTATATATAAGCAATTCCAACTATTTGTCAGCTGTAACGCGACCATTTTTTTTTATCTTCGACTCTTGGTTATACTATAAAGCACTGGATTCTCCTATAAACCACAAACAGTTCGAAGACGTCAGTTCAAAGTGCGTAACGTCACCGATCAACAAATTTATCTTTCAATTTCTACATAAACTTCATCGTCAGTGCATACTTACGAAATTCTTGTTCTTCTTCTTCTTCTTCGTTTCTCTTCATACAATTGAATAATATTTACGTGATTGTGTTTTGAATTCGTGAATTTTTTGTAAAGTTTTCTTTTTGAAAAAAGTTTAAAATTTCTCTTCTTCCTTGAAATATCTAAAAAAAAAATGCCGTTTTTGACAAATGAATCGGTGAATGGACATGGACATCTTAAACGTCCCAATGAAAACGAGTTTTTGCATACACTCGTGAAACATGTACCTCACACTTCGTAAGTTTTAATTTTTCTTTTTTCTATTTTATCAAGTAATGATCAATTTTTTTTTTTCCTCAAGGTGAAAAAAAAGTACTGTGAGTAATTAAAATTCCTGTTTGGGAGCAAATTAAAAGTAACTGTGTAATTATTGGCTCATTTAAAAGAGAAGAGTTATTCACGCGATTTAGTTTAAATGGAAGTTAATTAATTGCGCAGGTATTTTATATTGAATTAACCAAAAGTTTCCTGCTTTTCTTTCGTTTTTTTTTCCTTTCTTTCTTTTGATCTGAGTATTTATTTCAAGCCGACTCATTTTAACTTTTTCTCAAATATAACTCAAATAAAAGATTTTTCTCAGCGAAATTCTTTTTCCCTCCAAATCCCCCTTTCGACGAAATTTGAAAAAGTTGAAAGTTCCATTCTTGTTCTTTGTAGTTTTTGTAGTCATTTTTTTCAAAAAAATATAGAAGTTTACCGGTTTTTTCAATTGTTCGTGAAAAAATTTTTTTCTATCTTTAAAATTTATAAGCAGTTTTTTATTTTTTTATTTTTAAAGTTTTCTAATTATATATTTATTAAATAACATGTTTTGTCATTATCTATATCTGTTAATTATAGGTTTTTTATAATTACTGTAAGTATAATAATAATAATAGTTTGAAAAACATTTAAATAAAAAATAATTTAGATTAAAATTAATTAACTAATAGAAACTTTATTTATTTTATTTATTTAAAAATTTTTTCCTTCTATTTTTTATAGACGCTTCCATTTAACACACATTTTTATGAAAGAAGTGTTAAATCATTGTTTAACCAAGTAAAATAAAGTTTATGGAATAATATACAGTATATATGAAAAAAAAGTAACTTTCGTATATAAGCGACGCGCACTAAAGAATATAATTTATTATGATATGAATTTCCCTTTTTTCCACTAACGAAAAATATTCTTTTTTATTATTCATATCTTAATTTTGTTATAGTCATTTTTTTTACTTCTTGTTCATTCAACCCTAACTAGTTTATATTTTATGTAAATGATCTCTAATATTAAAGTATTTTTTATTCGTTGCAATTTATAACCCGAAGTCAAATTTTTAAGGGCGAAGAGTAATTGCTACATAAACTATCTTTTAATATAATGCATAATTTATAGTAATTTTATATATAATACGCATTACAATCACAGTGCTTTTTTATATTGTGCTTTTAATATTTAGTTTAGTATAGAATTTTGTTTGTTTTTATCAAAAATTATTAACGACAAAAATGAAAATAGTCATAATAATATTACTCTACAATTATTTTTATAAATAATAAAAATTCTTCTCGCGAAATTCAATTATTTTAGAAAAGTTTTGATAAAAGTCTTGGAAAAAATTTCAATAAATTTTCAAACATTTTCCTCAGTTCAATGATTTTCAATATTTATTATTTTTTAATAAAATTTTTCAAAAGAAATCAATTATTTAAAAAAAATTTTTGTTAAAATTCTACGAAAACATTTTCATTATTTTCATAAATAATAAAAATTTCCCAGGAATTGAATTATTTACAAATTTTTTTATAAATTTTTTTCGCAAAATAATTCAATTATTTGCATAAATAAGAAAACACATCAGAATTTCAATTATTTTTAATTCAATTTCAATCTGAATTTTTCATACTTTTAATTAACATAATTCTGTAGAACTAATATTTTTGAAAAAATTTAATTTCTGTTCTGTTGAAATTAATTGAATTTTTTAATATATATTTTAATTTTATTAATATGTATAAATATATAAGAAGTTATCAATCCTCAATTATATTTTAATTTTATTTTAAAAGTTTTAATGCAATTCTTGTACAGAATTCAATTATCTTGATAAATTTCAAAATTCTTCACAGAAATTCAATTATTTTCAGGAATTTAAATAAAATTTTTTGAAAAATTCAATTACTTTCATAAATAACAAAATTCGTCACAAAAATTCAATAATTTTCAGCAATAATAAAATTCTTCGCAGGAATCAAATTATTTTCAATTATTTAAAAAAAAAATTCTCGTCAAGATTTCAATTATTTCTATAAATAAGAAAATTCTTCGCCGAAATTTAATTATTTTCAAAACTTCTATTTAAATTCTTGTCAAAATTTCAATTATTTTCAAAAATTTTTCTTAATTGAATGATTTTTATATTTAATTTTAAGAAATACATATTCAATTATTTAATAAATTTTATATTTTTGTACTTAAATAATAATTACATTTTTCGAGGAATTTATTTTAAATTGTATTAAAAATAATTAAAATCTTGTGCAAAATTTTATTATTTATGAAAATAATTGAATTCTGGCAGCGAATTTTATTACATTTTTTTTAAATAATTGAATTATTTTGTGAAATTTTATTAAATAGCAGATTTTGAAAATATTTGAATTTCAATCAAGAATTTCATTATTTGTAAAAAGTAATTGAATTCTTGTAAAAATTTTTTTAAACATTTCTGAAAATAATTACATTTTTTGACGAATTTATTTAAAATTATATTAAAAATAATTGAAATCTTGTTAAATTTCAAATTTGAATTTGAAATTTTTAAAATGATAATTTTTATCTAAAACCCGTTTACGTTCAAATAAATAAATAATAATTAAATATTTATTTAAACTAGACCTTCTCATTTTTTATGAGAATATAAGAAGAAGAATAATAGAATTCGTAAATAAATGTAATAGAAAACATTATTTTGAGTATTTATTAATTTTTAGAGTGAATTAAATATTAATTAGTTATTAACTATTTCTTAAGTAAAATATTACTTTTGAATCAGTGATTAACTTTTTACTGTATCAAATTAGTTTTTTTTTACTAATTCTTTAGGGAGAAAAAATATATTTAAAAAAGTATATAAATAATATAATAGTAAAAACTAAAAAATAATAATAAAATATTTTCCGTTTACAATTTGAGTTATATTTAATAATAATTGTTATTGTTTGAGTAATGAAATGGTTCTTTTCATGTCACCACTTGTGATTTGAAGCAGATAGTGTAGGGGTTGGAATGACATGAATATTCCACAAATCCACTACGTTTGCATTTTGAGGATAGATTCTGTATTGTGTGTCAATCATCTAAGTTATAATGTGCATTTAACGATAAGAGAAATTTCGAATAGGAAATTTCAATCTATTTTAATCATATAAAAAATAAAATAGACGAAAAGGAAAAATAGGACCACAGTAGAAAATAGAAAAATATATTTCCACTTTTATTTCATCATCAGTGAGAATCAGTAAATTTTTCAAGTGAAAATTCCAAAAAAATGTAAATTCAAAAGTGCTCTATACATATACGTACGTATATTATTATATATGAGAAACTTTAATATTACACTCGTAAAGTTACAAGTTTTATGAAAATTAAATTCTATATTTGCATTTTTAGTTCACATTGGGGAATTTTTCTCGCGCACAATGAAACTTTCTTTTTTTTCAAAGACACTTTTTTTCCTTTAGTTGCGTGACATTTTATGAAAAAAAAAATACCGCGATATGTGCGAGTATATGAATTTTCATATATGTGTTGCGAATTTTGTTTAATATATGTTTACTTGGTATTTCCTTATTAATTCCTTGTAGCTCTGTTTCTCTCCCCCTCTCTCGCTCTCTTCATTTGAGATGCAGAATAAGGGTTGAAAGGGGAGGAGAATTCATGGATGGAGTTAATATCTAATGACGTCTGGTATGCATCTTGTACAGTATAACTGGGTAGATTTCCTTAGGTATACCATTGCGAATATTATTATGGAACAAATCTCATACCCATTTGACGCAATATAACTAGATGAGATCTAATTGAAATGCGTTTAAAGAGATATTTAATTTCAAATTATTCGCTTCACCGATCAAAGAGTTTAGTTTAATTCCTTCTAATGAAATCTAATAAGTTTGTGAATTGTTATTATTCTTTGTTTCAAAAGCTAACATATTTTTTTAGGGAAATTTTACGATTAGATATATTTCAATGTTTGTTTAGATTTAAAATCTAAATAACGAAAACTTACTTAATATTGTATTTTATTATTTATTATAATACAGTTTCATGATTCACAGAATTATTGTGAATCTTTAAATGAACAAAATATTTTCTTATCATAAGTTCTTAAAAAATTTTTATAAATTTTTAAAATTATTCTTTGTTTTAAAATCTAATATATTTTCTTAACATTATTTTCCAATTACATATTTCAACGTTTCTGTAAATTTATATAATCAAATTTCATTTATTGAAATTTCAGTTGAAATTCAATAGAAATTTCATTTCTATATTGATATTTTAATTTATCCAAATTTCAATTCTTTTCGAATTTTAATTTATCAAAATTTCAATTTTATTCGAATTTTAATTTATCAAAATTTCAATTGTATTCGAATTTTAATGTAACTATATTTCAATTTTATTCAAATTTTAATTTATCCAAATTTCAATTCTATTCGTATTTTAATTCTATTTCTGAATTCCAATTCTGTTTCTATACATATTTTCAATTCTACTAGAATTTCATTTAATCAAATTTTCTTCGATTTATTTATCAAAATTTTAATTTTGCTCAATTTTAATTCGTATTTTTAGTGCCATGAAATTTTTAATTAATCCTAATAATTTTTATTGGACAAAAAAAAATTTATTAAAACAAATTTTAACCAATTTTAAATTTAATTTCTTTAAATCTTAAATTGTTTATATCTCAACTTATTTTAATTTTAGTGAATTTTAAGCAAATTGAATCCATTGACTCTTAAAATTTTTGAAAATTCTATCTAAAAATTAAAGAAATAAAGGATAGATTCCACAATTATTTTTTTAGCATAAAGATTTTTATAAAAATTTTCATGGAAATGAAGATTAAAAGAAAAAAAGAACAGAAAAGTTGAGAAAATACTTCCTCCGTGAGAAAGCAAATGAATCTGCTTTAAATTAAAGAAATAAAAAGCAGATTTCACATTTAATATATTGGTTTTTTTAAATAATTAAATTTTTTTCAGAAAAATTAAAATTGTATTGAAAATAATTGAATTCTTACGAAAATTTCATTATTTATGAAAATAATATAAATTTTGAGACGAATTTTATTCAATTTGTTAAAAATAATTGAATTTTTTCATTGAATTTTATTAAATTTGTTAAAAATAATTGAATTTGTTCATTGAATTTGATTAAATATTTAAAAAGAAATTGAATTGTTTCGAGGAATTATCTTTAAATTTTTGAAATTAAATGTCTTCAAAAATTTTCATTATTTATGAAAATAATTGTATTTTTGAGAAGAATTTTATTAAATTTTTTAAAAATAATTGAATTTCTGTGAAAAATTCCATTATTTACGAAAATAATTGAATTTTTTAGAATAATTTTTTTAGTTAAATTTTTAAAATAATTTAATTTTTGCGAAAAAATTTTTTATTAACGAAAATAATTGAATCCTTTAGAGAAATTTGATAAAAATTGAATAATTATCTACAAGAACAATTAAATTTTTGGGAAGAGTTTCATTAGTTACGAAAATAATTGAATTTTCGAAAAGAATTTTATTAAATTTTTAAAAAATAATTCAATTGTTTCCAAGTATTTCATTAAATTTTTTAAAAATAATTTATTTATTGCGAAAAGTTTCTTCATTTTCGAAAATAATAAAAATTTTTAGAATAATTTTGTTAGTTAAATTTTTTAAATAATTTAATTTCTGTGAAAAATTCCATTCTTTATAAAAATAATAGAATTCTTCCGAAAACTTTGACTATATTGACGAAAATAATTGAATTTTTGAGAATAATTTTAGTTCAATTTTTTGAATAATTTAATTCCTGCGAAAAATTCCATATTCTTTATAAAAATAATTGAATTTTTAAGATGAATTTTATTAAACTTTTTAAAAATAATTGAATTTTTTCCAAGAATTTCATTAAAACTTTTAAAAATAATTGAATTTGTACGAAAAGTTTTATTATTTACGAAAATAATTGAATTTTCGAGAAGAATTTTTGTAAATTGTAAAAAAATAAATTAATTTCTGCGAACAATTACAATATTTATAAATATAATTGAATCCTTTAGAGAAATTTTACTTTTCATCAAAGTAATTGAATTCTGTCGAAAAATTTGACTATATTTATGAAAAATAATTGAAAAATTTTACTATTTATGAAAATAATTAAAATCTTCCGAAAAATCTGATTATACATATTTACAAAAGTAATTAATTTTTTGAGACGAATTTTATTAAAATTTTTGATAATAATAAATATAATAATTAATTAGATAGTTTTAGTGAATTTTTTGAAAGATTAATGGAAATTAGAAAATAAACAGAAAAGAAGAGAAAAAATAAATGCGTACATTAAAATTAATAAATTTTTAGTCGAATAAAGAATGAAAGAAAAAGAAAAGAAGAAAAAAGAGACAGTTGGTGATAATATTTTTAAATAAGATGATTAATTTGCTTTTGAGCTGATCTGAGAGTTTATTCATAATGTACGTTAGGACTAATGCATGTATCAGCAAGTGCACGTGTTACAATCCGTTTGTATGCAAGTCTGCCTAGTGCGTTCTGTTTCGAAGCATGATTTGTAATACCTATATGTACGATGGTCGCTTCCCTTGTTCGGCTTAAACTATTGCTATATTTGTGCTCGTCAGCACGTATCACGAACAAATTATATATCATCGATTTCCTACAACTATTTCTCCAAATCCGACATTTAATGAAATGCGCTGCTCAAAATTTATTTATCAAAAATAAATGCCAAGCCGTGGGAGATTTTATATTTCAAACCGTTTTTCACAATAATATGCAAATCTCCCTCACAATATTCTCCAATTCTCTTATTTTCTTTTTCTATTGTTTCCCAAATAACGGAAATTGAAAATCTAAATAACGACAATTTACTTATTATTGTATTTTATTATCTATTACAATTCAGTTTTATGATCCACATATTATGAATCGTTAAATGAACGAAATATTTTCTTATTGTAAGTATTTTCGAAAATAAAATTCAATTAGAAATAAAATTCAAAAACAAAGTTCAAAAGTAGAAATTAAAAATATAAATTAAATATTTTATCAGGGTTGACAGAAAAATTTGATTTTATTTTTTTCTGATTTCCAGACAGAATTTTGTCTTTTTCCAAATCCTAAAGAATATTTTCTTTCACTCCAAAAATAATATCTATGCTTCTCTAAGTCAATTATTTTTAATTATTTTTGAGAAAGTTTTTTGAAAATACAATTATTTAGTCAATGAAAAAAAGTTCACCTAAATTATTTCTGAAATTCACTTGTTTACAATTAAATTTCATGAAATTTTTGATTAAAATTTACTAAAATTAAAATTTTCTAAAATTCTCAATTTGAAACTTTTGGAATTTTTTGTATTACTTTTTGCAATTTTTGTAATTTTTTATAATTTTTTGAATCTGTACTAATCTGACCGGTCACTAATCTAATATTCTTGCAAAGAATTTTATTAAATTTTTTAAAAAATTGAATTGTTTTGAAGAATTTTATGAAAATTTTTGAGAATAATAATTAAATTCTGTCCAGGAATTGAATTACAATTGTATATTGCCAATAATTGAATTCTTGTGAAGAATTCTTTTATTTATATGAAAATCATTGAATTCCGGCGAAAAATTTTATTAAAATTATAATTAAAATAATTGAATTCATCTAAAGAATTTTATTTTTTATAAAAATAATTGAATTTTTGCAAAAAATTTATTAAAATTTAAAGAAAAATGAATTCTTTCAATAACAAAATTCCTTTTATGAATTCAATTATTTTCATAAATAATAAAATTTTTGCTGGAATTTAATTATTTGCAAACACGATTTTCATAAAATTTTTCAAAAAAAATCAATTATTTAAAATTGTTTTTATAACATTTTTCGCTAGAATTCAATTATTAAAAAAAAATTAATAGATATTCGTAAGAATTCAATTTATATTTTTGAAAATTTTAATAAAATCTGTTATTTTTACTTAAAAATTACATTTCAATATTTTTAAAATACCAATTTTTATAATTTATATTTTTTCCAGAAATTTTATTAAATTTTCTTGAAGATAATTAAATGCCAGCAAAAAATGTTATTATTTAGAAAAAATAATTAAATTTGAAAAAATTTATTAAAATTTTAAAATACAATTAAATTTAAAAAATTTTGATAAAATTTTTAAAATTATTTGATTTTTTTGAAAAATTTTATTATTTAAGAAAACAACTGAATTTGAAAAATATTTTTATAAAATCATTAAAAAATAAAAATAATTGAATTTTCGAAGAAATGTTATAAGAATTGAATTGAAAATAATTGAATACTAAAGAAAAATGTTATCATTTAGTTAAGTACCTAATTGAATTTGAAAAATTTTATTAAAATTTTTTTAAATAATTGATTTCTTTCGAGAAATTTTATGAAATTTGTATATTGAAGAAAATTGAATTTCTGCGAAGAATTTTATTATTTAAGAAAATAATCGAATTCGTGCAAAGATTTTTTTGAACATTTTTAAAAATAATATTTAATAATAATTTATTAGTAAAGAAATTAACTTTTTTAAATTTTCCTGATAAATTTTACTTCCATGACTTTTCCCTGAAAAGTAGTGAGCTCTTGACAGTTTTTTTTGTAATCTTGATAATAAAACCTGAGCAGAAAGTTTAATGTCACTAGATAGTGGCTTTTAGGATTTTTTCAATGTATCATAAAATCATGAAAAGTGCCACGAACTATTTAAATGTTTTTTTTGTCGAAAACTGGAGATTAAAAACTGATTTTTTGTCAAAAAATGTTTCTTATTTAAGAATAAATGTAACTAAATAAATAAATAGATTTACATAATTAATTATATGATTAAATTGCAGAATTTGAATATTAGTGATTAAAACTTTGTACTTTTTGTTTCAGATATACATTTGAAGCGCTACAAGAGAGCGCACAATATCTTTTGGACCGGGTACCATTCATTCCGAAAATTGGAATAATATGTGGATCCGGAATGGGTGAGTGTCAATTTAGAAAAGTTTTTTTTCACATTTTTCATTTTCATTTTTGTAACGATAAAAGAGAAGAGCTTTAAATGCAAAAATTCCATTTGCTACTTTTGGGCTTATTGCGCGAGTGACGAAAATGAATTATATTCGTCCTCTTTGATATCACTCATTTTATTTATGGTACACGGAGAGAAATGATTGTTACATTGGCAAAGGACAATCGGATTGTTAAATTGTTAATATAGAATTTACGAATTTATCTTGTTATCCTACTCTCTGAATTTGAATCAGTTAAAAATTTTGAAATTATATTTAAGTTCGTAACTAATTTTTTGCTTTTAAATCAGTTAGAATTTACTGATTTAAAAGCAAAAAGATTTTTCTATTCTGTTAAATTAGTAGATTTTATTTAAATCTATATTTTTTAAAATAAATTTTAATTCACTTGAAAGCAAGAAGGAAATTGATTTGATTTTATGTTCCAAAAATTTCGAACGAAAGGAGCAAAAATATTGTAGCAAATAAATTTTGTTATTCTGTATTAATAATTTTTCTCCATGTATCAACATTTTTTTTTTGTTGCAATTTTTGTCAGAGAAAAAACTAACTGATAGAGAAGACGTGATTTTTCATTACTTTATGGCATTGCATGATTATTTTAATATAAAAAAATTCATACGTTACAAGCTTTGAAGAAAGGGATATAAGTAGCAAAAAATTATTCATTATGTTTATGATAGTTTTAGCTGGATTAAACAATCCTTTTTAATTACTTAAAATCAAGATTTTTCAAAATGTACATTTTGAAATATACAAAACAAAAAAAGTAGATTTAAAAAAAATGTCCTAAAAACGTAATCCTCATCATTTTAGTTGATCCGCTAATTTCAATGCATATTTTTATATAATTAAATTACTTTTTTCTTAATCAAGATAAAAGTGTATCATAAACATACTGTAGAAAATGTATTTGATCCAAAACGATTTATTATAAAATAAATATTTATTCGTATCAAATAATTTTTTTTTTTCAAATAATTTTTTCATAAAATTGTCTTCGTTTCAAAACAGAGTTGCCACAAATTAGGGGAATTAAGGCAAACTTAGGGAAATTAAAGTTAACACTAAAATTCTAGAATTGATGAAAAAATTCTGGTTCCTAAACATTTAATTATTTTCATAAATAATAAACATTTCACAGGAATTCAATTATTTACAAATTTTTTGTAAATTACTTCGCAATAATTCCCTTATTTTCATAAATAATAAAATTTTTTACAGGGATTCCACTATTTCTGTAAATAATACAATTTTTTTAGGAATTCAATTATTTTCATAAATAATAAAACTCATTGCAGAATTTCAATTATTTTTAATTCGATTTTAATCTGAATTTTTCATATCTTTAATCAATAATTCTGTATAACTAATATTTTTGAAAAAAATTTAATTTCTATTTTGTTGAAATTAATTGAATTTTTCAATATATAATATCTCAAAAATTAAATTATTTTCGTAACTATTGAAATTTTTCGCAAGAATTCAATTATTTTTAATACAATATTAATAAAATTTTTCTATAGAATTCAATTATTTAAAAAAATTTTAATGAAATTCATGGAAATAATTGATTTTTTTTTAAACTTAATAAAATTATTTACTAGAGTTCTAGTATTTTTGTAAATAATGTAATTTTTCACAAGAAATCAATTATTTTGGAATATTTTAATTAAATGAATTCAATTATTCAAAAAAAATTATAACAAAATTCTGAGAATTATATCCTAAAAATTTGAATTGAATTGAATTGAATTCAAAAAAATTCTTCAAACCAATTTAATTATTATCAAAAATTTGAATAAAATTCTTTCCAAAATTCAATTATTTTCATAAATAACAATATTCATCACAAGAATTCAATAATTTTCAAAAGTAATAAAATTATTCACAAGAATTCAATTATCTCTATAAATAACGAAATTCTTTATAAGAATTTAATTTTAAGAAACATTTAACTATTCTATAAATTATTTATTTTTGTGTTTGAATAATTGAATTCTTGTAGAATTATAAAATTGTATAATTGTTTTAAAAATGAATTTTTTGAGAAATTTTAGTATTTATGAAATTAAATAAATTCTTTTCAAGGATACTCTCAAGAAATTTTATTATTCAGAAAAAATAATTGAATTCTTTCGAGATATTTATTTAAAATTGTATTAAAAATAATTTAATTTTTCAGAGAAATTTTATCAAAATTTTTGAGAATAATAGAATTTGTTCGAGAAATTTTATTAAATTTGTATATTGAAGATAATTGAATTCCAGCAAAAAATGTTATTATTTAGAAAAATAATTGAATTTGAAGAATTTTATTAAAATTTTTAAAAATAATTAAATTTTAAGAATTTTGATAAAACTTTTAAAATTTATTTGATTTTTTAAAAAAATTTTATTATTTAGGAAAACAATTGAATTTAAAAAAGATTTTTATAAAATTATTAAAAATTATTCAATTTTCGAAGAAATGTTATTAAAATTGAATTGGAAATAATTAAATACTAAAGAAAAATTTTATTATTTAGTTAAGTACCTAATTGAATTTAAAAGAATTTTGTTAAAAATTTTTTAAATAATTGAATTCTTTCGAGAAATTTTATTAAATTTATGTATTGAAGAAAATTGAATTACTGAGAAGGATTTTATTATTTATGAAAATAATCAAATTCGTGCAAAGAATTTTATTAACATTTGTGAAAATAATAGTTAATAAATAATAATTTATTAGTAATGAAATGAACTTTTTTAAATTTCCCTGATTTTTCCCTGAAAAGTAGTGAGCTCTTGACATATAAATAACAATATTCATCACAAGAATTAATTCAATTTTAAGAAACATTCAACTATTCAATAAATTATTTATTTTTGTATTTAAATAATTGAATTCTTGTAGAATTGTTGTAAAATTCTTTCAATGAACTTTTTCAAAAATTATTAAAAATAATTAATTTAAAGAAGAATAGTTATATTGTATCAATATTCTGAAATTTTTGAAAATCTTTCATTCCTCTGGAAAAATAATAATAATATTATTTAAAAATGAAGGAATTGATGTTTTTGAATAATTTTACAAATTAAATAAATTTGAGAGAACATTTTCTTGAGTATCTAATCATTTTTAGTGAGAATAAAAATATTCCTTAGGGTCTGAGAAAAGTTAAAATTTTGTCGAATGAATGTTAAACCAAATGAAATTTCTGTTAAATGATTTTTAAATGTCAAATAAAACTTCGGGATTGTCCTAATCAGAATATTCTTTAGTGTCAAAGAAAAAGGCAAAATTCTATCTGGAGAGCAGGGAGAAATAAAATAAAATAATTGTGGCAAATCTGTTGAATTTGTTGGATCAAATACAATTTATTTGATTTAATTAAAAATTATTTGAATCAAATAAATATTTTTGTCCTGCCTGCACGGAAAATGTGTTATTTCGTGCACATGAAAGGGGCGCAAAGTAAGTGATTTCCGCCCAGAGGTAAGGTGAGCGGGCGCAAAATACATTCGCGCCCGCTGACGTCATAGGAGCGGGCGCAAAGTACATTCCCGCCCGCTGACGTCATAAGAGCGGGCGCAAAATACATTCCCGCCCGCTGCCGTTATATAGATGCGGGCGCAAAATATTTCTTTGCTCATTTGTGCATCCAGTGACCTTAACTTTTAGAAAATGACATCACAAGTCATTTTTAGCCATATGGAACAAACAAACAATTCATCCAAATGTGTGTGCACTTAATAACACACTTTCCATGCAGCAGGACAAAAAATGTTGTTCGCAGCACGGGCGCAAAAGGTGATAGTGTCTCAGGCGAGATTATGGGACAACCTCGGCGACCCTACGCATCCTCGGCTTCGCCTCGGTGCTTCAGGTCCCCTCGGTTTCCCTAATCTCGCCTTCGCCAAAATCACCTATTTTGCGCCCTTAATACGAAAATAACTATTATTTGATTCAAATAAATATTTATTTGATTCAAATAAACCTTTATTTGATAATAGACAATAGGTTATTAAAATCAAATAAATTTTGTTTCAGTTTAATCCATACTTCTTGCTACTTAGATCGGTTACTTGAGAGTTATAATATAAAGTAACACGATAATGATGGTGGTAAATTTTTACAAATAGCCCAATTTTTTCTAAGGATATCAAATTAAGATAAAAAAAAAACGAATCAAAAGTGTTGCGAAGCAACATTTTAATTCGTCTTTTTATCTCAATTTGATATCCTTAAAAAAGTCTGTGAGTGTAAAAAATGCCAATAAACGATCGTAGTATACATAATAATAGAGTTAATATTAATAGACAAAAGGGATTTTTGATTGAACGCTTCTCTAGATAGTTGTGTTTTTATTTGATTGTCTTAAACAGCCGGAGAATCTGAACAAAGTGAGTTGTGTCCAGGTTCAATAGCAGACTCGCTCACGGAGAAGCAATGCTTTCCCTACGAGGAGATCCCGCACTTTCCAGTTTCAACGGTGAAGGGTCACGTTGGACAGCTGGTCTTTGGTTATCTCGAGAATGTCCCAGTCATGTGTATGCAGGGGAGATTCCACTACTACGAGGGCTATCCACTTTGGAAGGTATGTTTCACGTTAACAATATCGTCCCAAAACTCTTGCGCGGATAACAAAGCTACTTTACCCTCTGAGAAATTTCCTTCTATACATATATAAGGTTTCTCTGTCTGACTTAAACCATTCGACCAGAAACTTTACTAATTTGCGAGTATTTACGCTGTACTCGAAAACCCGAGAACAATTGTTAACAAAATATCACCTCTCCAATCTACCTAATTGGATTATTTGCCCTTCTGCCTCTGATTCATTCAATTCATCGACGCGATTTTTGTCCCAGTTATAACATTTGCTGGCAAAACAAAAAAATACAATAGTTACACGTGACGAATACGTTATGTTGCACTAATTAGACTTTAATTACCAAATGGAGAAAAATATAAAGGAACTTTTACTACTTTTGTAATAAAAAACAATTTCCGGTAAAACATTTCTGGTAATTTTTACTGCTTTTGGAGTCAATTTTGCTACGTTCAAAGTTAATTTTACTACAATCAAAAAACATATTTGTAAAAAATTTGTAAAATTTACTTCGAACGTTGCAAAATTTAGGACCGAAAGCAGTAAAAGTTAGCAAAAATGCGATACCAGAAATGTTTTACAATCAGGGTTGCCACAGGTCAGGGAAATCGGGGAATTCAGGGAAAAGTCAGGGAAAGTAAAATTTGTCAGGGAAGTCAGGGAAAAGTCAGGGATTTTTATTTAAGTAACTGAGAAAAATTGAATTTTGGAGAAGTTACAAATGAATTGCAGAAATTCAATTATTTTCAAAAGTATTAAAATTCTTCGCAAAAATTCAATTATATGTTCAAAAATTAAAAAAAATTCAATTATCTTTAAAAATAATAAAATTCTTCTCCAAATTTCAATTATTTTCAAAAATTTTAATAAAATTCTTTGCAAAATTTCAATTATTATCAAAAAATTTTTCTCAATTCAATGATTTTCAATATCTACGGTTTTAATAAAATATTTCAAAAGAATTCAATTATTTAAAAAAAAAAAAATTTTTGATAAAATTCTAAGCAAACTTCGCAATAATTCAATTATTTTCATAAATAATAACATTTTTTACAAAATTTCAATTATTTTCATGAATAATAAAATTCATCACGGAATTTCAATTATTTTTAATACAATTTTAATAATTGAATTCCTCGAAAAATTTAATTATTCTTGAAAATTTTATTAATATTTCTCGAAAACATTCAAATTTGTTGATAAAATTCTTTATGATAATTTAGTTTTGAAAACATTCATTTATTCAAGAAATTATTTATTTTTGTATTTAAATAATTGAATTCGCGGAGAATTTTCCAATAAAAATTGATTTAAAAATGAATATTAGTTAAAATTTTAGATAACAATTGAATATTAAAAGCATTATAGCATGAATTTTTAAAAATACATAATAAATAAAATACATAATTGAATTCTTTCCAAAAATTTTAACAAAATTTTTGAAAATAGTTACATTTTTCGAAGAATTTACTTAAAATTGTATTAAAAATAATTGAAATCCTGTGAAGAATTTTATTAATTTATGAAAGTAATATTGAATTCTTGCAATGAATTTTTTCAAATTTTTTTCTAAATAATTGAAATAATGTAAAGAATCTTATTATTTATGAAAATAATTGAATTCCTGCATCGAATTTTATTACATTTTTTTTAAATAATTGAATTCTTTTGAGAACTTTTATTAAAAAATTAGATTGTGAAAATATTTGAATTTCAACGAAGAATTTCACTATATTCGTGAAATGTAATTAAATTCTTACAAAAAATTTAAGAGAATAATTTCATTTTTCTTGTAATTTACTTTAAATTGTATTATAAATCCTCAAGGAAATTTTATAACTTATGAAAATAATGGAATTCTTACAACGAATTTTATCAATTTTTTTAAATAATTGAATTCATGTGAAAAATTTTATTACTTGTAAAAATAATTGAATTTCAGCAACGAATTTTTTTACATTTTATTTAAATAATTATATTCTTTTGAAAACTTGTATTAAAAATGTAAATTTTGAAAATTTTTGAATTTCAGCGAAGAATTTCATTATTCGTAAAATGTACCTAATTTAATTCTTGCAAAAAATTTTTGAAGATAATTTTATTTTTCGAGAAATTTATTTAGAATAATTGTATTAAATATAATTGAAACCATGTGAAGAATTTTATTATTTATGAAAATAATTGAATTCTTGCAACGAATTTTATTAAAATTTTTGTAAATAATTTAATTTTTTTTTGAAAAATTTTATGGAAATTAAAATTTTTATAAGATGTTTAATTTTAAAAATGTTTGAATTTGAATGTTTTGAAGAATTTTAATTCCTAAAAAAAAGCTAAAACAAAGTTAGGAAAAATAATAATTAAATACTTATTTAAAAATTTAGTTATTGATGTTTGCGAATAATTTTACAATTTAAGAAATTCGTAAGTAAATGTAATAGAATGTTTTTTTTGAGTATCTAATAATTTTTAGAGTGAATCAGAAGATTCTTTATGGTCAGGGAAAAAGTGAAAACTTTGTCTGGAAATCAGGGAAAAGTCAGGGAAAAATAAAATTAAATATTAGTGGCAACCCTGACAATATAAAAGTAGTAAAAGTTACTTTATATTTTTCTCCGTGCATTGGAATTAATATAGAAATTTTTGGTGAATTAATTAATTGTTAATCCTTTTCGTTGGGTTTTTTGTTGCTCGAGTATAATTATGATATTTGAGATTTGTTTCTCTTGGAATTCTTTTTCGTTCGTAAAAAATTTTATTTTAAAAACAATTTTTGTTTTTATGTAGAAATTTGTTGGCGTATCCTTTTTTCTCCTTTGAAGGAAAATTTTGTCTGTTCAAAAGAAGATTTAACTACTGAATAAAGAAATTCTTTTATATTCTCTGAACCAAAAGTTCGTAAATTAATACGAAATTTGTTCCTTTCAACTTTTCAAATTTGAATTTTATTATATATAATAAATAATAAATTCTTATAGTCATGATTAAAGAAAAAAAATTATTTTAAAAAATGTTCTGTTTACTTCTGTTTTTACTTTTTGGTGTTGTTAGTATATTTTTTAAAAATATTTATAGCGACAACGTACCAAAAAATTCAATCGAATGAAAATTGACTTTAAAAAAATTAATTTCACAAAATTTTTAAATTTAATTACAAAATTTCAAATTTTTAATGAAAAAAATAGAATTCCCAGAGAAAAATTTGTAATTTATTTGAGTTAAATAAAAATATATTTGTCTCATAAAATTTTATTTAAAACAAATAAAAAGTCTATTTGGCTCTGAGTCGAATATATTTTTTTATAAACCTTTTTAATTTTAAAATTAATTTATATTGAGAATCATTGAATTCTTGCTAAGAATATTGTCAAAATTTTTAAAGATAATTAAATTGTTTTGAAGAATTTCTTTAAATTTTCTGAAAATAATAGACTTTTTATAAATAAATTTAATAAAACTCGAAATTTCAATTAAAAATTCGGAGAGTAATTGAATTTTATATGAACAATGTTTTTCAAGTTTTAAAAATGATCACGTTTGTTAACAATTGTATTTAAAAATTTAATTATTGAATTTTATTTAAATTTTTAGGAAATAATTAAATTTTTCTCAGACTTTTATTACAATTTTTTTTAAATAATTTAATTCATATTCAAGAAATTTTATTAACATATTCAAAAATAATTGAATTCTTGCGAAAAACATCAATATTTACAAAAATAATAGAATTCTTGCAAAAAATGTTATTAAATTTAAATAAAATTAAATTGTTTCCAATAATTTTATTATAAATTTTTTAAATAATTGAATTCTATAGGAAAATTTCATTAATATTGTATTGAAAATAATTGAATTGTTGCGAAAAATCTCAATAGTTACGAAAATAATTGAATATTTGACAAGAATTTTGTTATTTATTTAGGAAATAATTAAACTCTTCTCAGAATTTTATTAAAATTATTTTTAAATAATTGAATTCTTGCGATAAATTTCATTATTTACAAAAATAATAAAATTCTTGCTAACAATCTTATTAAATTTAAAAAAAAATTGAATTGTGTCTATGAATTTTATTAAAATTTTTTAAAATCATTGAATTCTAAAGGTAAACAAATTTTATTAATATTATATTGGAACTTGAATTCTTGCAAAAAATTGCAATAGTTACGAAAATAATTGAATTTTTTAGAAGAATTCCATTATTTATTTAGGAAATAATTAAAATCTTCGCAGAATTTTATTATAATTTTTTTAAGTGATTGAATTCTTTCGAAGAATAGGCTATTAAATATTTTTTTCGTAAATTATTAAATGCTACTGAAGAATATCTTGAAGTATTATGAAAATAATTGAATTTGTTCAATAAATTTAATAAAAATTGCAGTGAAAATAAATGAATTCATGCAAGGAAATTTATTATTTATGAAAATAATTGAATTCTTATAAAGCATTTTCTAAAAACATTTGAAAAATAATTCAATTCTTTCCGGAATTTTATAACAATTTTTAAAAATAATGAAATTCTTTCAAGGAATTTAATTTAAATTGTATTGAAAAAAATTGAATTCCTCTGAAGAATTTTATTATTTAGAAAAATAATTGTATTCTTGCGTAGAATTTTATTATTACACTTTTTGAAAATAATAATTGAATTATTTCGAAGAATTTTATTAAAATTTTTGAATTAATAGAAATTAAAATTTTTATTCTAATTTTGATTTTTATTCAACTTAATTAATCTAAAATTCTACTTATCCAAATTTTATAATCTATTCAAAATAAAATTCATTTAAATTTCAATTTAATTCAAATTCTATTAAGTTTGAAACTGAATTTAATATAAATTTTATTTAATTTACATTTTAATGAATCAGAAATTCAAATTATTCCAATTCTGATTAATCTTCACTTTAAATAATCTAAATTGGAAATTTGTTTTATAAAATATTGCTTTTATTGATAAAAATGATTCTTACTAAATATTTAATTAACAATATTTTTTAAATGCACTGAATTTTCAATACAATAAGTTTTAGAGATTGTAATAGATTTTTACAATTTTTGGATATATTAAGACAGAAATAAGTATTTTGTTTATTTAAAAATTGAAAAATTTGGAGAAACTGTCGATAAAAGAAAAAATTAAAATTATCAGTGAATTCTGTCTGACTATAGACAGCTTGTTCTACTTAAAAACTTAAATTGCCGTAGAATTAGAATAACATGAATTAAAAATTAGTGACAGTTATATTTTTGTTTTTTTGAAAAATTCATAGGAATAAAAAAAGTTGAATTGACTTTTGAATTTTGTTTTTAGAGAAATAAAATAATGTCTTTTTCTCTCTTTGTTCGGAATAATTATTATTTTTTAGAAAGGAAAAATTTACATTGAAAAAATGATTTTCTATCAATGAAAATATTGTAAAAAGTTTGTATAATTTGCTTATGCAGTGTGCTATGCCCGTGAGAGTAATGAAGCTTGTTGGTGTGACTCATTTAATTGCAACGAATGCGGCCGGGGGTTTGAATCCCAATTACAAGATCGGAGATATCATGTTGGTGAAGGATCATGTAAACATGATGGGATTTGCTGGCAACAATCCACTCCAAGGACCAAATGACGATAGGTAAGCCAGTCATTTACTCATTTATCAATTAGAAATTAGATTTTTAATTAATGTTTTTTTCTTTTCTATACAAATGTATATTTTCTTCTAGATATTACATTTTTTATTTGTGTTTCTTTTCTATTACGTTTTTCAATGGCATTTATTTATTTATTTCTATTACATTTTTCAATTGCATTTATTTATTTATTTCTTTTAGATTTTTTAATTGTATTTTGTTCCATTACTTTTTTTAATGGCATTTATTTATTTATTTCTACTACATTTTTCAATTGCATTTATTTATTTCTATTACATTTTTCAATTGCATTATTTTATTTATTTCTCTATATTACATTTTTCAACTGTATTTTTCTCTATAAATTGAATTGTGTTACCTTATTGTCGTTGAATTATTTATTTCGACTTTCATTAATTTAAAGTGTAATTTGAGTTTTATTTCTAAATCAGGTCAAGAGATATTTCAAAGCAAGAGCTTTACAAATAGAATTTATTCTTGCAATTTTCACATTTAAAAGGAAATACATAGACATAAAATATACATTCAGAGATTGTTCCCCTTTTCATTGTTTACACATGTAGAAAAAAATTTAATATTAAAATAGTGTTTACATTTGTCTTCGGATGGGAAAAATGGTTCATTGTGTCGCTCTCTGAACAAAAGGAATAATCTCAGTGGTAAAAAAATTACAGATTATATTCATGATAATTTTATTCTGATTAAAAAGTCCTTTTTAATGTTTTAGAATCAAAGACACAGTTTGATTAAACATTTTGGATCGAATAAAATGAAGAGATTAAAAAAAATTTAAAGTAAACTAATTTTTACTAATTCTTGTTATTTTTTTAAATAAAATTTTAGTAAACGAATTTTGAACTTGTAAATAATTTTTTAGTTTAATAATTTTTTATTTTAATAATTTAATTTTACTGAAAAATAGAAAAAAATTTTACAAATTTTACTTATGTTTGTCTAAAATAATTTTTTTTTATTTTCAAATACTAAAAAGCGAATTCTTGACTAAGTAAATATTTAATTTTTGTCATTTTTTATTTCAATATAATAATTTTTAGAAAAATTTGAACAAGAAAAAATATATATTCAAAAATTTAGGAAACTTATCGTCAAAAGAAGAAATAAAAATCATCAATGGATTCTGTCTGACTACAGATAGCTTTTTCTACTTAATAACTAAAACGTCTTCTATGTGAAATCAAAACTATTTTTAGAATTAACAATTCATTTTCTAATTTTTTACTGAAAAATGACTAAAATTGGTTAAATTTTTTAATTATTTTCAGTAGAATTTTATTTAAAAATTTCGCTCTCTAAATTTGAATTTTAAAAATGTTTACTACTTTGAATTAGTGACTGACTTTTTGCTAATAAATTGCTAATTTTACTAATAAATTACTAGAAATTACTATTTATTAGTAAGCTTTACTAATTTAAACAAAAAAAGCAAAAATTTGTCAACCAAAAATTTTAATGTCTTCTCTTTATTTATAATTTTATTCATAAAACTATCAACAATTAGCGCGCGGCTAACTTCTTCCTGCCTTTTTAAAATAAAATTATCGATTATAAAAATAATACCTACAATTTAAAAATTTTCTAATTTAAATATTTGTTGAAAACACTAAAAAAATTCAATTTTTGAGAAATTACAAATATTTGCAGAAATTCAATTATTTAAAAAAAAAATTTCTTATAAAATTCAACAATGTTCCAAATTTAAAAAAAATTCTCGTAAAAATTCTAATTATCTTTATAAATAACAAAATTCTTTTCCAAAGTTCAATTATTTTCATAAATGAGAAAAAAATTCTTGTCCTAATTTCAATTATTTTCAAAAATAAAATGCATTTTTATAATTTCAATGATTTTCAATATCTACTATTTTAATAAAATTTCCCAAAAAGAATTCAATTATTTAAAAAAAATTTTAATAAAATTGTATGCAAACATTTAAATATTTTCATCAATAATAATAATTTTCACAGGAATTCAATTATTTGCAAATTTTGATAAATTTCTTCGCAATAATTCAATTATTTTCATAAATAATAAAAATTTCATAGGAATTCAATTATTTTCATAAATAATAAAAATTTCATAGGAATTCAATTATTTTCATAAATAATAAAAATTTCGCAGAAATCCAATTATTTTTATAAAAAATAATTTAAAATTCTAGAAAATAATAGAATTAAAATGATGAAAATAATTTTGAAGAAGTTACTCATTCCTTTCTTTTGGAAAAGAAACATTACATATTCTATTCTATTTGTTAATTACAAATTTTAATTGAAATTAAATTGAAACTTTTTAAATTTTTTGAAATTAAAGGAAAAAATTTTACTCAAAAAAAAAAATGTTCTGTTATCATTTATTTACGAATTTCTTTAATTGTAAAATTATTCGAAAACATCAATAACATTTTTTTAAATATATTTAAATATTATTTTTCCGTAGGAATTAAAATTTTTCAAAAAATTCAAATTCAAATCTTTTGAAATTCAATAACTTATAAGAATATTTTTTTAAAACATGAAGATAGCGATTACTCCGAGTCGAAGTGATCGATTTTTCATGTTTCCTAATAATTAAAGATGACCGAGTGATAAAGTCATTGTTTTATATTATAAGAATATTATTACAGTAACTTTTTCGAAAATTATTTTTATCATTTCAAATCAATTATTATTATCTACAATTTTTAATTTTTTTTTATTAAAATAATAGAGTTCCTTAAAAAAAATTATTATTTATAAAAATAATTAAATTATTATGAAAGAATTTATAAAAAAATTTGTAAATAATTTAATTCCTGCGAGAAATTTTAATTATTTATAAAAATAATTGAATTATTGCGAAGGAATTTATAAAAAAAATTGTAAATAATTGAATTCCTGAGAAATTTTTATTATTTATGAAAATAATTAAATGTTTGCGTATTATTTTTTGGGAATTTGAAATTGATTCGAAAATAATTGAACTTTGGGGAAGAATTTTATTATCTTTAAAACTAATTGAATTCTTCTGAAGAATTTTATTACTTAAAAAAATAATAATTGAATTCTTGAAAAAAATTTTATTAGATTATTTGAAAATAATTGAGTTTTAGAGAAAAATTTTCTTATTTTTTAAGAAAATAATGGAAATCTTATTTTTTTAAAACATTTTTTAAGTTTTTTGAAAATAACATAGTTTTTCTAATAATTTTGCTAACAAAATATTGAATGTAATTGAATTTTTCAAAGAATTTCTTTTCTTACAAAGAAATTTAGTAAAATTTTTGAAATAATTGAATTTGTTTCAAAGAATTTGAATGAAAATTTAAAAAAATAATTGACTTCTTTCCAGAAATTTTACTAAAATTGTAGTGAAAATAATTGAATTCTTTCCTTAAATTTTCTTAAAATTGCATTGAAGTAATTAAAATCCAGTAAAGAATTTTCGTATTTTTGAAAATAATTGAATTCTTCCTAAGAATTTTAATAAAATTTTCAATATTTGAATTGTTTCGAAGAAGTTTATTAAAACTTTTAAAAGTATTTGAATTCCTGAGAAATTTTTATTATTTATTAAAATAATTAAATGTTTGCGTATTATTTTTGGGAATTTGAAATTGATTCGAAAATAATTGAACTTTGGGGAAGAATTTTATTATTTATAAAGAAAATTGGGATTTTGACGAGAATTTTTTTTTTAAATTTGAAAGATAATTGAATTTTAGGAGAAGAATTTTATTTTTTTTTAAATATTTGAATTTCTGCAATTATTTCTAATTTCTCCAAAATTGAATTTTTTTTTAGTGTTTTCAACAAAAATTTCAATTAGAAAATTTTTAAATTGTATTATTTTTATAATTGCCAATTTTATTTAAAAAAAGGCAGTAAGAAGTTAGTCGCGCGAATTGTTGCTAGTGAAAGAATGAAAGAACATTCAAATTATTATAGTTAATTAATTAATTTCAGTGCGTGGAAGATTGAAAATTGGAAATTTGTATTTAAGAAGAAATTTTCCATTAAAGGGGAAATTTTATCTCAACTTTCGAATTGAGAATCACTCAATTGAAAGATAGAAAAAGATGAAATAAGAAGAGGAAGAAATAAGGCAAAAAAAAAGAAAAATAATTAATTTATTTCATTAGAATAACTTCTTGAATCGGATTGATGAACTGTTTGCACGACATAAAGAAGCTGATTGGCGTATTTACTTAAGAGAAACTCTCTCGCGTACTCCCGTTTCTTTTACATTTCTGACAAGGTGACGTACCCACGTTACCACCTCGTTTTCACCTTTTCGCAATTTTCCAAACCCTGACTTAACTTGCGAGCTCGAGCTTTGGAGCTTTTCGCAGAGTTGATGCTTCTTCTTCTTCTCCTTCTTTTTCTTCTTCTTTATCCGTTTTCTGTTGTCACTTGGCCCAATATTAATGGACTTTACCATCTCCCATGTTCTCTCTCTCTCTCTCTCTCTCTCTCTCTCTCTCTCTCTCGCTCTCTTTTCAGTTTATTTCACGTTTTTCCTCTTCCACCGGGAATTACTCTTATGAAACCTAAGGGGTGAGTTTACCAGCTTTTTTACTTTCAAGAAATAGGCTGCATTTACTCTCACCAAGTATTATTTTATTCTTTTTCTCCTTGGAATTAATTTCACAGTATCATTCGTAAATTGTAATTGATTATAAAAGTAAGGAGATGTTGGTTGCTCTTAAATATTTGTAGAATTTTCGTCGAGAGCTAAGTGAAAATATAATACTTGTGAGTTGAAATTATTTTTCACTGGAGAGAATATTTTTCTTCTTCTTTCTTTCTTTTTACATTTTTCCTCCCTTTTTAACTGATTTATTTGCAGTTAATCTTTATTTGCAGTTAGTCTTTATTTGAGGAAAGGAAAAAATTTTCTGAAAATAAGAATTCTCTCTTAAATTTATATATAGTGAACTCAAAAGGTTTAGGGGAAAAAAAATTTTTATTCGGGAGGGAAAAATAAATTTGTCGCACTATTATATAGTGAGAAGAAGTAAAAGTTAGTTTCTCTGGGGAAAATTTAAATTTAATTTAATTCTATTTTTAATTTCGGTGAATGCGGGAAAATTGCGAGATTTTTTCTCGCGTATACTTTCTTTCCAATTTTCAAAAGTGATTCTCACTCGATTTTTATTTTTTCGCTTCAGATTTGGTCCCAGATTTCCACCCATGAATAAAGCTTACAGCACATCACTTTTGGAAATTGGTAGTCAGGTCGCGGAGGAGATGGGAATTGCCGATATCGTTCACAAAGGTGTCTACACGTGTCTAGGAGGTCCTAGTTTTGAAACCGTTGCCGAATTGAAGATGCTTCGAATGATGGGAGTCGATGCAGTTGGTGAGTTTTACTTTTTTTGTTTGTATTTTACGAAAAAAAGGAATAAAATTTAAAAATGAAAAAAAGATTTTTAATTGGGGATACAAAACCTTCAATTATTTCTATTTCTGACAATAATTTCTTTTTAAATAACTAAATTCTTAAAGAATTATCATAAAATTAGATTTTTATGAATTTGATTTTTGAAAAAATTTAATAATTCAAATTCTTCGGAAAATAGTTACATTTTTTAATAGATATTTAATAAATTATTAAAAATAATGGATTTATAGAAGAATTTTAGTTAAAAACACTAAAAAATTAAATTTTAGAGAGAAGTTACAAAAATTATTTCAGAAATTCAATTATTATTAACAGTTATAAAAAATTCTTCTTCGAAATTAAATTATTTTCCAATAATCTAATAAAATTCTTCTGAAAGATTCAATTATTTTTATAAATAATACAATTCTTCTCCGAAATTCAATTATCCTCAAATAATCTAATAAAATTCTTCTGAAGCATTCAATTATTTTTATAAAAAATAAAATTCTTCTCCAAAATTCAATTATTTTCAAAAATTTTTAAAAAAATTTTTTCAAACGATTCAATTATTTTCAAAAATTATCAATATCTACTACCTACTTTAATAAAATTTTCTAAAAGAAATTAATTGTTTAAAAAAAATTTTAATAAAATTCCACGTAAACATATAATTATTTTCATAAATAATAAAAATTTCACTGGAATTTAATTATTTTTATAAACAATAAAATTCGAAGCCGGATTTCAATTATAATACAAATTTTAATCGAATTCCTCGGAAAATATAATTATATTCTCTTTATTTTTAAAACTTTTAACAAAATTCTTCATTACAATTCAACTATTTTCAAGGAATTTAATAAAATTGTCTCGAAGAATTCAATTATTTTTTAATTTCATTTTAAATAAAATTTCTGTCAAGAATTGAATTATTTTTAAAAATTTTAGTTCATTTTTTCGAAACAATATTGAATTATTTTCAAAAATTTTAATAAAATTTTTCGTAAGAGTTCAATAATTTCAAAAATAATCAAATTTTTCAATAGAATTCGATTATTTTTAATTTAATTTTTAATAAAATGTTTGTAAAGAATTTAATTAATTTCAAAAATGTTGATAAAACTCTTCATAAAAATTCAATTATTTTCAATTCAGTTCCACTTTTATTAATTTCTCAGAAGAAATCAATTATTTCGATTACAATTTTAATAAAATTTTTATAGAGAATTCAATAACTTTTATGAATAAAAAATTCTTCAAAAGAATAAGATTTCAATTATTTTCTTATAAAATAATTAAATTCTTCTCTATAGAATACACAATTATTTTCAATACAGTATTAATAAAATTTCTCAAAAAAAACTAGTAAATAAACTAGTAAAATTTAATTATTTAATTTAATTAAATTTAATTAAATTTTACTAAAATTTCAACTGAAATTCACTTTTAAATCAATTTTTGTTAGAAAATTCAGTACTAATTCAATTATTTAAATAAAAAAATATTAATTTATTAAATAATTGTATGATTTTTAAAATTAAATTCTTTCGACGAGTTTTAATAAAATTTTTAAGAATAATTACATTTTTCGAGGAATACGATTAAAATTGTATTAAAAATAATTGAAATTCTGCGATAAATTTTATTGTTTATGAAAATAATTGAATTCCTGTGAAATTTTCATTATTTATGTAATTAAATGTTTGCGTGGAATTTTATTAAGATTTTTGGAAATAATTGAGTTTTGGAGAAGAATGTTATGTTATTTACAAAGATATTTGAAATTTTGACGAGAATTTTTTGAAATTTTTAAAAATAATTGAATTTCTACGAAGGATTTTATTACTTTTGGAAATAATTGAATTTCTGCAATTATATTTGTAACTTTTCAAAAATTACTGTATTTGAAAATATTTCTTCTTGAACTATGTAGTGCAAGTTTTTAATATTTTTAATTTTTTTTTTTTCTAGAACATTTTGCTTGACAGATCGAATTATGCAAAAAATTATGCAATTGAATCATTTTTGTTTCATAATTTTATTTTCTGTTTTTGAAAAAAAAAATTTTTTGACCATTTATATTTCTCTGTATAAAACTATTTTTTCACTATTTTTTTAAAAAACTTCCATTTGTCGTAATAAAAAAAATTCTAATTCAATAATATCAAACTGAGCTTTTACCTTATATAAATTTATTAAATTACTTGAAACTGGAACACAAAATAAATAAAATACTATTCTTAGATTCTACGTATAAAATTATAAAGTCTAAAAATAACAAATTCTATATAAAAATATTGAAATACTTCTAGAAGTTTATGCTAAAGGTAAATTTACTAATTTAGAATTGAAAATTATTTTCTGCACGTATTATTATCATTCAAGCGGATATTGTATCTTAATTAATAAAGTGTTGAGAGGAATTATTTAATCGTAAACATGATTAATTCAAGAAAAAAACTAGATCTGGGATTTAATGAATATCAACTAGATATAACCAGAAATAAATGAGACGATGAATTAAATATTTGTACAGATAGTTATTATTTTAAAAAAATGAAATAAACTTATTTATGGATAAATGTGTGTATTGTATATCAAAACTCGATATAGATATTGAACATATATCCATTAAATATGCACATGAATATTTCATATCTATTAAATATTTTAAAAGATTTTCATTTGATGAAACTGAAACATGTATAAACTCATTTATCGCGCTGATAAACGGGAAATTGCTTTGTTTGTTATTTTCAGATCAGAATAATTAATTGCTTCATTAGTTACTATATCTGTTAAATATACATACACTAGTTGTAATTTTACAATGGAGATCAAAGGTTTTTGTTTAAAGATTCTTGTCTTGTTACAGTCTCCATCAAAAGCTATTTATGTTTAATAAAATTTAGTAGTTCCACGTGAAATTTACTTTTATTTTTCTCGCATTTCCAGACAGAATTTTCAATTTTTGTACAAAAATTTAATTTTGTTTTTCCTGACTTCAAAAAAAAATTTTGACTTTTTCCCTTATTATTTTTCAATAAAAATTAAAGTTATCGAAAATTTCTATTCAAACCTTTTTGAAATTTAATAACTCATAAGAATATTGCTATAAAACATGAAGATATTGATTGCTCCGAGTCGAAGACTCGGAGTGATCGATATCTTCATGTTTTATAATCATTTTGTTATTTTATTATTTTATATTATAAGAATATTGTTTAATAATTTTTGAAAAAGTTCTTTAAGAATTTTCAAATCCATTTGTTGACAATTCAATTTTATATTATAAATTAATTATTAAATTAATTATTCAATTATTTTTCTTCAAAAAAATATTTAAATTATTTATAAAAATTTTTATTAAAATTCTTAGAAACGATTCAATTATTTTCTAAAATTTTAATTTTCTTAGCAAACATTCAATTATTTTTTTAAAAAATAATTAAATTTTTCTCTAGAATTCAAATGTTTTAATACAGTTTTAATAAAATTGCTCAAAAAAATAAATTATTTTTTAAAATTTAATAAATTTCTTCAAAAGAATTCAGCTATTTTCAAACATTTTAATAAAATTCTTCGCAAGAATTTAATTATGTTTATAAAAAATAAAATTCTTTGTAAAAATTAAAATATTTTTAAAGATAATTAAATTCTTTACCAGAATTCAATTATTTTTGAAACAAAATTAGTAAATTTTCTTGAAAGAATTCATTTATTTTTGAAACTTTTAATAAAATTCTTTGTAAGGGTTCAATGATTTTAAAAAATAATAAAATTCTTCAATACAATTCCAATTATTTTTAATTTAATTTTTAATAAAATGTTTGTAAAGAATTTAATTATTTTCAAAAATTTTAATGAAAAATTTCAAAAAAATTCAATTATTCTCAATTTAGTTTCACTTTTATTAATTTCTCAGAAAAAATCAATTATTTTGACTACAATTTTAAATTGTTTGAAAATAATTGAATTATTTTAAAGAATTTTATTTCTAAAATTTTAAAAAATAATTTACTTTTTTGAGAAATTTTATTAAAACTGTATTGAAAATAATTGTGTATTCTATCGAGAAGAATTTAATTATTTTATAAGAAAATAATTGAAATCTTATTTTGTTGAAAAATTCTTTATTTATAAAAGTAATTGAATTCTCTTCATAAATTTTATTAAAATTATTGTAGTCAAAATAATTGAATTTTTCTTAGAAATTAATAAAAGTGAAACTGAATTGAAAATAATTGAATTTTTATGAAGATTTTTATCAAAATTTTTGAAATTAATTAAATATTGCTTCGAAGAAATGAACTAAAATTTTTAAAAATAATTCAATTCCTGACAGAAATTTTATTTAAAATGAAATTAAAAATAATTGAATTCTTATATGGACAATTTTATTAAATTCTTTAAAAATAGTTGAATTGTTATGAAGAATTTTGTTAAAAATTTCAAAAATAACTGTATTTTAGCGAAGAATTTTATTACTTAAAAAAATTTTAGAGATTATTATTTCAATTATTTTTTAAGAAAATAATTGAAATCTTATTTGAAACAATTTTTAAGTTTTTTGAAAATAACATAACATATTATAATTTTTTGTAAATAATTGAATTTCTTACAAAAAGTTTTATTACAATTTTTAAAAATAACTGAATTTTTTCTAACAATAATTGAATTCTTGCAAAGAAATTTAGTAAAATTTTTGAAATAATTGAATTGTTTCGAAGGATTTCGTAAAATTTTTGAAAATAATTGAATTCTTTCCAGAAATTTTACTAAAATTTTAGTGAAAATAATTGAATTCTTTCCTTAAATTCTATTAAAATTGCATTGAAGTAATTAAAATCCAGTAAAGAATTTTCCTATTTTTGAAAATAATTGAATTTTTGCGAAGAAATCTATTAATATTTTCGAAAATAATTGAATTCTTTCTAAGAATTTTAATAAAATTTTCATAAATAACTTAAATATTATTTTAAGGAATATAATTAAAATTATATTATAAATAATTGTATTTCTATTAACAAATTTTGTTTAAATTTTCGACAATATTTGAAATGTTTCGATGAAGTTTATTAAAACTTTTAAAAGTAGGTATTTGAATTTTTTAGATAAATAAAATACTAAAAATAATTTATTTAAAAAAAAAATTTAATTTCTTTTCGGAAATAATTTTATTACAGTTGACTTAAAAATATTTGAATTCCATGAAGAAATTTTATTATTTTTGAAAATCATTGAACCCATATTTTTTTAAATGATTGAATTCTTTACAGAAATTTTATTTCTATTTTATTTTTATTTATTTATTTTTATTTCAATTAAAATGTTTTAGAAGAAAAATCAAAAAGGTTAGAAATTTCCACTACATAACCCAAGAAGAAATATTTTCAAATCCAGTGATTAATTTTTGATTTATTAAATTTTACTGACAATTTTTAAGTTAATTTCAAAAAAATGTTGATCGACTAATACCTAATTTAATTTTTAATTTATAAAAATTTGACAGAAAAATAAAATTCATTTGTTATTTTCAGGAATGTCAACTGTTCACGAAGTCATCACCGCCAGACATTGTGACCTGACCGTTTTCACTTTTAGTCTCATAACAAATATCTGCGTGACGGATTACGACGATCATAGTGAGGCAAATCACGAGGAAGTTATAGACGTTGGCAAAAGCAGTCAACCCATTCTTCAAGATTTCGTTCGACAAATGGTTCTTCGTTTGGAGGACATTATAAATAGCAGTTCGAAGTAGGATTTTATATAATAGATAAAGAATCTCCGTCATTAGTGTCAATTTTCATGCTTTTCTCGAATCTTCGCTTTTTTCCGCCCAAAAAAAGAAGAAAGAAAGAAAAATTGCTGCAAATCGAAATCAAAAGGTCTTTGAAAACCTTTCATCGTGAATGAAACAACTTTAGCTCATTTTAAATCATGTCGATTTCTGCATAATAGGTATTTATTCTCTGATTTCTTTCGTTTAAAAGAATCTATCCTCTCGAGTTAATAACAAGTAATCAAATTGATTATTATCAAAGTGTCTTAAATGTTTCGAGAGCAATTAAGAAAGAAAATAATTTATAATAATCTTGTTTATTAATATGAAAGTAAAATAATTCGAGTGAATAATTGATCTTCAATTTAATTTAATTGTGAGAAAAAAAGGAGTAAGCCGTTTTAGATTATGACAAACAATTTTTGCAAATATTTTTATTAATTACGAGATTGAAGTTCGTAAAGTTTTTGAAAACCAAAATGAAAGAGGCGATGATTTATTTTTTTTGTCTTTTGAGTAATAATTTGTTAAAAAGCTACGAAGATTAGAAATAAATTTAACTTGAAAAAAGATTCGTTTTTCGAAAACTTTGCCGACTTTTATTTCATTATTAATTAGTAGACAAATATTTAAATATTAATTACGTTGAAAGAATTTTTTTCTTTTTATACCTCGATGAAATTTACAATTTATGAAATTTATGAAATTTACGATTAAATAAAATTTATATTTTTCATAAGAAAAATAAAATCATTTTTGTTTAAAAATATTTCTTTAAGAAATGGTGAAAAGAAAACATTTTTTTTCTGAATCGTTGATTATACGCCTTGTAAACTTCACTATTCTTTTTGAAAACTTTGGAAAAATTTGAACTTTTTGAAAATTAGAAATATTTTAATATTATTAACTATTAAAAATTGTTATTTTTAGAGGAAATGCGCTACTAATTAAAATTTAGATTATTGAAGTTTTAAAAATTTTTTTAGAAATAATTGAATTCTTCACCGAATTTTATTACAATTTTTGAAAACAACTGAATATTTTCGACAATTTTTCTAAAAATTGGATTTAAAAAAATTGATATCCTGCAAAGAATTTTATTATTTAAAAAAATAATTGAATTCTTGCGAAGAAATTAAAACAATTGTTGAAATAATTGAATTGTTTCAAAGAATTAAAAAAAAAAAATTTTTAAATAATTGAATTCTTTCTCGAAATGTTATCAAAATTGTAGTAAAAATAATTTAATTCTTTCGTAAAGTTTTATTAAAATTGTATTAAAATAATTAAAACCCAGCAAAAACTTTTTCTATTTTTGAAAATAATTGAATTCTAGTAAAGAAATTGATTAAAATTCTCGAAAAGAATTGAATTATAAATAATAATTGCAAACAAATTTTTTCAATTGATATAAAAAAATGTTCTTCGGTAATTATAAAAGATTTTCTCGAAATAACAATTTTTAAAAGCAAATTTTACAACTTTTAAAGTAAATTTTAGTAAATTCGAAGTAAATTTTACTAATTTTTATTGCAATTTATTTCAAATATAGTAAAATTCATTAAATATTGGAAAAAATAATGTAGTAATTAATAAGTTTGATTTAAAATTTGTAATAGTAAATATTACTATTTTCGAAGTAAATTTTATTATTTTTTACTACAATTTACTTCAAATTTAATGAAATTCGTGGAATTTTGAAAAAAGTAGTGTCATGACAAAAATTTTATTGTTTAAAATTTGTAATAGCAAATTTTATTAATTTTTCCTGCAATTTACTTCAGGTATAAGTAAAATTTATAGAATTTTTGAAAAAATATTTTTGTAACAAAAATTTTAATTCAAAATTTATAATAATAAATTTTACTAATTTTTATTGTATTTTACTTTGGCGGTAGTAAATTTTCTGGAATTTGAAGACAAAAGTATCGATTCCAAATTCCGAAAAATTGCAAATTACAAAAAGAATAAATAAATAATAATTCACAGAAAAAAATTAAACAAAAAATCTGAATAATTTAAAGAAAATTTGATCACTGAAATATTCGTCTACTAAAAGAGGAAAAAGAAAAATAAAATTTAGAAAAAAATGATGAATATAAAATAAAAATAGAAATATTATATTAGATATATAAATATTATATTGAGAAAAGTAAACAATTTTACAAATATTGTATTGTTTGTGTAGAAAAAAACACTTCGAAAAATTTACAAAAAAAAAAAAAAATAATTTTTCCTCTCAACTTAAAGAAAACAGTTTGATTTGGATTAGATTTGCGAAAGAAAAATGAAGCGCAAAGTTTGAAATGTAATGTAAAGTCTAACATATTTGAAAAATTACAAGGGAGAAAAGAAAAGTTTAGGAAAAGAAGAAAAAAAAAGTTTAAGAGCAGTTAAAAAGTAATGAAGTAAAAGGGAAGAGGTGCTCGTATATGGGGAAATAATTCCAAGTCGTGACACGTACTTGCAAAAGGCTCAGACTTTTATGTGTTCCTTTCTGAAACGTCTGACGTTTCAGAGTGTTGAAAACGAACACTGTTCTCAACTTTCGAGTGCAAAGAAATTTTTCAGTCACTCAAACAATATTTCCCAATACATTAACAACTGACAAAGTATATATAATATGAATGTCTATTTTTTTGAATCTACATTTCTTGACAAAATGCACCAAAAAAAATAAATAAATAAAATGTACCTTAAGAAAGTACTGAAACAATTATTTATAAATTTCAAAGAACACTATTGCACTCAAAAATAAATCTAAGTATTATAATAAATAGCAAAATATAATATTTATAACACAGTTATTTTACTCAACTTTTTACTTAGGTCTTGTATTTTATGTTAGACTTGAAAAATCTACGTCTATTGTATTTTTGATAAAGTCTAAGTTTCATAAAATAAAGTTGCACTCAACGCAATTTATTTTTTTTATTCAATTTTCCTCGTCATAGAAAGTTATTTTCCGTAATTTATAAAATATTTAAATCCAGAGAATTGCAATTTAATTATATGATTTGATGAAGAAAAAATGAGACAGAAAAGGGGAAATTAATTAAAGTGGGTAAATTAGTGAAGAGGTGGAAAGTAATTTAAATTATTAATTACGATTAATTAGATGTAATTTTTGTTAACAAGTTTTACGTATAAATAGACTTTAAAAAGAATAATTTCAAGATAACTCGAAAAGGTGCAGAATTATAATATAGTTATTCATTTTAAATATTAATAATTAATAATTAAAAATTTCATTTCATTTTTTTCTTATAAAAAAGTAATTATAAGAAATATCAGAAAAATGCAAAATTATTCTAAAGATATTAATATTAATAATTAATAATAAAACCAATTGAAATCTTGAGAAGAATTTTATCAAAATTTTTAAAAATAATTCAATTACTTCGAAGGCTATTATTAAAATTTTTTAAAAATAATTAAATTCTTTAAAAAAATTTTATGAAATTAATTGAGTTCTCGCGGAGAATTTTATTATTTATAAAAGTAATTGAACTCTTTCCATAAATTTTCATAAAATTGTAATCAAAATAATTTAATTCTTCTGCGATGAGAAATTAATAAAAGTTAAATTGAATTGAAAATAATTGAATTTTTTTGAAGATTTTCAGCAAAATTTTTGAAAATAATTGAATTCTATAAAAAAATTCAATTAAAAATAATTGAATTCCATTTAAGAACTTTATTAAATTGTTTGGAAACAATTGAATTGTTTTAAAGAATTTAATTAATTGTTTTTAAAATAAACGAAAATAAAAGATAAAAAAATTCTTAGCCAGAATTTAATTAAATTCTGGCTAAGAATTTTTTTATCTTTAAACATAATTGAATTCTCACGAAGAATATTAATATTTATAAAAGTAATTAAATTTTTTCCATACATTTTTTTTAAATTGTATTAAAAATAATTGAATTTTTCTTAGAAATTAATAAAAGTGAAACTGAATTTAAAATAATTGAATTTTTATGAAGATTTTTATCAAAATTTTTGAAAATAATTAAATTCTTTACAAACATTTTATTAAAAATTAAATTAAAAATAATCGAATTCTATTGAAAAATTTGATTATTTTTGAAAATTATTGAACTCTTACGAAGAATTTTATTAAATTTTTTAAAAATAATTCAATATTGTATTGAAGAAACGAACTAAAAATTTTTAAAAATAATTCAATTCCTTACAGAAATTTTATTTAAAATTAAATTAAAAATAATTTAATTCTTGTGGACAATTTTATTAAATTCCTTGAAAATAGTTGAATTGTCATGAAGAATTTTATTAAAAGTTTCAAAAATAATAGAATTCTAGAGAAGAATTTTATTATCTTTAAAACTAATATATTGAATTCTTTTGAAGAATTTTATTACTTAAAAAAAATAATAATTGAATTCTTGAAAATTATTAGATTATTTGAAAGATATTGAAAAAAATTGAGTTCTAGAGAAAAATTTTCTTATTTTTCAAGAAAATAATTGAAATCTTATTTTTTTTAAAACATTTTTTAAGTTTTTTCAAAATAACATAGTTTTTCTAATAATTTTGCTAAAAAAATATTGAATGTAATTGGATTTTTCAAAGAATTTCATTTCTTACAAAGAAATTTAGTAAAATTTTTGAAATAATTGAATTTGTTTCAAAGAATTTGAATGAAAATTTAAAAAAATAATAATTGACTTCCTTTCAGAAATTTTACTAAAATTGTAGTGAAAATAATTGAATTCTTTCCTTAAATTTTATTAAAATTGCATTGAAGTAATTAAAATCCAGTAAAGAATTTTCCTATTTTTGAAAATAATTGAATTATTACGAAGAAATCAATTACAATTTTTTAAAATAATTGAATTCTTCCTAAGAATTTCAATAAAATTTTCATAAATAATTTCAATATTCTTTGAAGGAATTTAATTAAAAATATATTATAAATAATTGAATTTTTATTAACAAATTTATTTAAAATAAAAAATTTTCGACAATATTTGAATTGTTTCGAAGAAGTTTATTAAAACTTTTAAAAGTATTTGAATTTTTTCCATAAATAAATTACTAAAAATAATTGATGTTAAAAAAAATTTTCAAATTTCTTTTCGGAAATAATTGAATTTTTCACATTTTATTGAACCTACAATTTTTTAAAATAACTGAATTTTTTAAACAATAATTGAATTCTTGCGAAGAAATTTAATAAAATTTTGTAAATAATTGAATTGTTTCGAAAGATTTCATAAAATTTTAGAAAATAATTGAATTCTTTCCAGAAATTTTATTAAAATTGTATTGAAAATAATTGAATTTCTGCGAAGAATTTTATTATTTATGAAAAGAATATTGAATTCTTGCCCAGAATTTTATTGAAATTTTTGAAAATAATAAAGTGTGTACCTACTTAATAATTTTGAATTTTTAAATCTGAATTTATTTAAAAATTGATGTTCATATTTGAAAATAAAATATTCTGTAAATTTTGTAATAATTTTTGAATATTATTTTTCGCTCAAATATTTGCTGGCAATTGATAATTTAATTTTCAGTTTTCCGAAGTGAATTATTTATTACACAAAAGTAATTGTTATTTTTTAAAGGTGATGGAATTTTGTTTCTTTATAAAAACAAATTTATTCATAAAATATAAATAAGCAAGTGTATAGAAAATTAATTTAAAATTTAATGAAAAATTTTTGAATTAATTTTTTCTTAAATTGAAAAAGCGATTTTTTTTCATCTCGCTCTCTTTGCTTTTCATAGTGATCTGAATTGATTTGTCACAGGTTTTTTTCATGGAAGGATATCGAAGCCTCGTAACTGCGGGAGGGTTATTCCTTGCTCCTCATTCCAGCTTCAATTTCGCTCCTTTCGCTTCGTTACTTTCATCTCGTTTCCGCGCTTTTCCATCGTTAATGCATCGACCTTCGCCTTCGATAAATCCCCCCAGCAGCCCCGAGGAGGAACCATACGGCCGATTCCGTAGTCTTCTCTCCACTTTTCCTCCTTTAAACCATTCTCCCCACCCCCACCCCCGTTATTACCCTCGTGAATTAAATTATGATTTGACAGGTAGAAAACTTGGCTTCAACGCCGACGACAAAGAGAATAAAATGAGAGAAGATCCACTTGGAGATTTTCAGGAAATCGTCTCATTAGGAATGGTTGTGAAAAAGAGGAAATAATCGTTTTGTCCTATCGCCGGAAGTGCTATTGCAAAGGTTTAGACGCTGAAGAATGGCCTCTTTGTTTCTCTTTGCACGCAAACTATATACTGCCGCAAAATAAGAGGGGAAAAAAAATTAACAAAAAAGGTGAGGAGAGAAAGAATGTTTTTAAAATATTCTTTCATGAGTTTTTTTTATTTTTCTTTTTTCACTAGATTTTTTACTGTATTTTCTTCTTATTTATTATTTAGAAAAGTAATTGAATTGTTTTCATAAATTTTCTTAAAATTAAAGTAAAATTATTTATTTCTTTTGAGAAATTAATAAAAGTGAAACTGAATTGAAAATAATAATTGAATTTTTATGAAGAGTTTTATCAACAATTTTAAAAATAATTGGAAACTTTCAAAACATTTTTTTACAGTTTAGTTAAAAATAATTGAATTTCATGAAAGAATTTTATTAAAATTTCTGAATTTAATTCAATTTCTTCAATGAAATTATAATTAAAATTTTTAAAAATAATTGACTTCTTTACAGGAATTTTATTCAAAATTTATTTAAAAATAATTAAATTCTATTAAAGAATTTTATTATTTAAATTTTTGAAAATAATTGAAAACTTTCCAAAAATTTTATTACAATATTGATTAAAAAATATAATTGAAATCCAGAGAAGAATTTCATTAAAATTTTCAAAAATTTTTAAATTCCATGAAAGAATTTTATTAATGTTTCCAAAAATAATAAAATTCTTTCAAAAAATTTTAAATTCAAATTTAAAAATGTAGCGAAGAATTTTATTATTTAAGAAAATAATTGAATTCTTCCGAAAATTTTTATTATTTGTCAAAAATAATTGAATTCTTGTGCAGAATTTTATAAAATTGTTTGAAAATATTTGAATTGTTTTGAAGAATTCTATTAAATTTCTATTAAATTGTTAATTAATTATAATTTTTTTAGCTATTTATTATTCATTTATTTATATCTTGCAAAAAAAAGTTGAATTTTGTAGACTCTATTTTGTTTTAATTTATTATTTACTTTCTTATTTATATTTTGCAAAAAAAAAACGTTTCAAAAAAACATAAATGTCGAAAAATTTTAGACGATATTTTGTTTTAATGGATTATTTTTTAATATTTTGCATAAAGAAAAAACGGTTTTCAAAAAAGATCAAATTAAAAATATTTTAGACTACATTGAGTCTATATTTTTATTAATAATAATTGTTTATTAATTTATAATTTATTTATTTATTTATATTTTGCTAAAAACCTGTCTTTTGAATAAAAGCTATAAAAGCAGAAATCATCAGAAATGAAATTTAATAATTGTTAATATTTATTGTTATTAATTATAAAAAAATCATTTAGACATTTATATAATTTAAATAAAAGTGAACAAAAGAAAATACTTAATAATAAACATAATTATGAGGTAAATTTTTCACCCAGAGTTAATCTTTCATCTTTTTCATTTTTACTTTTTCCAGCTTCATTTTCTGTATTTTCTGTTGCATTTAAACACCCATTTGTTAATTACATTTCATGGAAATATTAAAATAATTACTTTTTCAATAGTTATATTTTAATTTTATTCATTTTTTTTCTGTTGACTATACTCGACTTATTTTGCTTTAAAATTTTTTGTGCAAAAACAAAAGTCGATAGGTTCACGTTAAAAAATTTGTTTATAAAAATTACAATATTGATTAATTTTTAATTTATTTATTATTTATTTTTTTATTTATTTTATTGAAATTTATTTACTTATCAGTCATTTATTAGTATTTATATAATCTATTTATTTATACTATGTATGAAATTATTAATTTATTAATTTATTAATAACAATAATAAGATTAATAGAAAAATTATTAAATTTTGTAAATATTTGTATAAAAAGCATTTCCTAGTAATTATTTAGGAATACATTTAATAATTTTAATTGTTTACAAAGATTAAAAAATTTGTTTTCCACTGAATAAACAAATGTTTTTCACTTTTTTAAATAATTAATAAAATAAATAAAAATAAATAGTGCCAATAAATTAATAAATTTTGTAACCATTTTCAAAGAAAAAGAATTTTGCAATTGTTTATAAAATTAATTACTTAAAGTATTTATAAATAATTAATATTTTTAATTATTAGAAATTATTTAATATTGTTATTAATAATATATTATTATTATTATTATTATTATTATTATTATTATTATTATTATTATTATTATTATTATTATTATTATTATTATTATTATTATTATTATTATTATTATTATTATTATTAATATACCTATTAATATATTATTATCATTCATTATCATTTTTTAATTATTTAATTTAAATATCGAAGTCATTCATAAATATTAAATTTATTATCTCCTTTGCGAAGAGAAGAATTTTTCAATTTCAAAGGAATTTACTTTTTATATTTATTTAAAAAAAAATTTCCTAACACGTTTTTATTGAAATTTTCAAAAGTAATTTTAAAATTAAATTTTCAACAAACACCTATACTGTAAAACGTTTCTTCTCTCTCACAAAAGGCAGTGATGTATATCGGGTTGCCTAATGCACACAGAGATTTAAATTGAATATTTTAATAAACGGAAATTATTATTAGTATTCTGAATAAATAATAAAAAAAAATTCCCAATTAGACTTCTTGAGTAGGAAAGTCAATTTAGAAGGACAAATTCATTAACAAAAATGATAATAAGAAAAAATTTCAAATTTGAAAATAAAGAAACAAGATGGAACCAGTTCACAAAATTTCGAATCTGTCAATTTCAAATTTTATCGATAATTACGCTGGAAAATTGAGCGAAATATTATTTCTCTATATTCAAAATTAATGTGACTTTGAGAAATGAAGAGAGAAATAGTGAAAATATTTGTAAATAATAACAAAAATGACAAAAATTTCATCCCTCTTTTTTAAATCGATATGATAGAGGTGGTAAATAAAAGTTGCGTATTTTGCCGCTTGGAGCGTTAGTGTGGCGCGCATCCCCCTCCAGTTCTTAAAGTTTAAGTCTCGAGCCGCCAGTTTAGTTCAGTGTATCTCGTGCTCTCGTGTTCGTTGTTTGTGCTGAATATTATAATTTTTTTTTTCAAAAACGTTTATAACCCCATTTCGTCGTGTCATATTATAAGCCGGCGATGTGACCGGCATTAAAAAGTGTCGCGTATTGTAAAATTTTTGGACACAACTGTCCATTGATTCAAGTCAGCAGAATTTCTCTCATTCTTTTTTGCATGTGAAACAAGTTTTTAAAGACAGGTGCACAACTTTACCTTCGCAGTGTCAAAGGCACACACGAGTTTCTTTCTTATGTGAAAAGTGAAACTTCTGCGAGGAGATTTAAAATTTAAAAACCACTCATTCACCGGTGGAGTGAAATTCAATGGTTTTTTGACAAAAAAGAAAAAAAAGTTCTACTTCTGAAATAAGAAAGTGGGAGAAAACATTTTTCCCGTATTTGCAATGAAAGTCTTTGTGACAATTTAAATGGAAGGTGGATTTAATCATTCTTTGCCGCCAAAAGATAACAATAATCGTTCTAACCTCAAAAATTCGGAGTACGTGAAATGTTTTTCTTTTGGCGCGATAACACACGGGTAATGTTATGACTGAGTGTGATGAAGTTTAGTGATTTAGTATAACGAAGGGGTGCCAACAGGAAATAAGTGTGGGGGAGTGATTAAAAATTATTTCAAGTGGAGATTTATTCGTCTTCTATCAGGATTAAGAGAAAAAAAGTGATTTTTTTTTTTGCGAGAAAAAAGAAACAAGTGGGATTTAAGGGAAATGTCACGAAAATTGAAGGAAGAAACGGTGACGGGTTATGTCATTGGCTGGAAACTGGACCGTGGAGCTTGTTGATTTTTTTTGTTCAATAACACACAGATGACGTGTGTCAACATCTGAGAGAAATTTTTAGGAAACGTGTCGAACCCGAGAGAGGAAGAAGGATAACCTCTCTCTTTCATCTCCACTGCTAAGCGGAAGTCATATGCTCATACACGCACGTAAAACGGTAAGTTATAAAAGGCATTTACCCCGCAGAGAAATATATCTCTTTCTTTTGTTGAATTTAGAAATTTATGTCCCACAACTTCCTTTTTCCGCTCGTTTATTATATGGGTTCTCAAAATGCTCGTATTAATATTTCATACACAAATATTTTGATTTTGATATGAATACATGATAAGTTTCATATTTAATTCATAGAATTCATGTCAATTCATTCATTCAGTGTCCTTGAAGTTTGTATAGGTAAAATATTTACGTTTTCTTTAATATACTCTGTTAATATACTTATTTCGAAATAATTAATAGAATAAAATTTCTATATTCTTCTTTCTATTTCTTTCTTACAATTACTCTACATTTTCAGTTCGATTTTTTAATTTAAAATTCAATTGATATATTCATAATCTGTAAATTTTTAACGATGTTTCGTAAGTCGAGTCGTCACTCAATTAATGGTAATTTTTTATTAAAACTACAGAATTATTGGCAATTCAAATAAGTATCGTCAGCTGGTAAAATTCATTTTTAAACAATAAAATTCAGAAAGGCAATTTTTACAAGATAATTTTTAATTTATTTGGGGAAAAATGGTAAAAATCCGTTTTTTAGTTCTCATCAAAAAAAGAAGTAGCAAAATTATTAAAGAAATGAGTCTCAAAGGTTTAAATAAAAACTGTATAGGATAGAAGTATTTTGATATCACTTTCGTGATTTTTTTCCAATACGGGATTTTTTAAAATTTTTATAATCGTTATGCCTATATATATTCTTCACGTTTCAATATACTTTAAATGAATATTTAAACTTTAAATCTAAATGGATGAAAGAGAACTGTTTAAATATTAAAATCAACATAAATCCAGGTTGAATGCACTCATAAATGTTCACTTAAAACAGATGAAACTCTTACATTATATAGTATATGAAAATGTTTTATATATTTTAAAGGCAAAAGTAAATTGTGCGTTTTATCATTTCCAGTCTATTGAATAGTAGGATTTACCGTGTAGCTTTAAAACGTTTAATACTTTGAGTACATTTTATGGTGAATTTTTTTTCTACGCAAAGATTTTTGTTGATATTTTTTTGCTGTATTTATGTGCGGAAAAGTGGGCGTTAAATATAAATTTATTATATTAATTTTTTCTGATATTCTAATATAATTTAAATAGAGAATTTTCATTTATTGAATTTCGTAATATCGAAATTGGCAATTTAATGCGATATGTGGATATATGCGCGGAATATATATCAAAGTATATAATGAACTCTAATTTTAGGACAGAATGTGATTATTATCATTATCTTTGGTTCTATGGATTATTAAAATCTTCTATGATAATAATAATAATAATAATAATAATAAAATAACATTTAATCTATTCGGTAGATCATACGGAAATCTCATAAATTCTATATTAATTTCAAATCCGTATTACTACTTCCCTGAAAGACAAAGTATTATTCTGAAAAGTGGATTTTAGGAGTTAAAGTTTTTAAATTAAATCTTTTTTATTCTAATTTCGAAAATAAGATTTAGAATAAATATTCAGATTTTCATTAGCATTCCTTGCATGTATATTATGACTTTTTCGATCTCTCTTTCGACTATTTTCAAAAAATGCGATTTTTTAAATATTCTTTTCAAAATTTGCGACTTTTTCGACTTTTTTTTCCTAATATTGCAACAAAATACCAAATTTTTAATATAAAATGCAACTTATTGCGATTTTTATAGTGTGAAAAATAATAACAGACATTTCTTTCAAAAATGATTTTTGAATCCTTTTTTTAATAAAATCATCGAAATATACAATTAACAAAATTTTGGAATAATTGAAATTTTATAAAATTTAATTGGAAATAATTGATTTATTTCAAAATATTTTATTATAATTTTTTAAAATCAACTTTTCAAGAATTATATTTTTTTAAAATTCAGTTATTTTCAATATTTTTAATTACATATTTACAAAAATTCAAATACATACAAAAAGTATTAACATGAAAATTTTTTTAGAATTATCTTTAACATTTTGCAGAAAACAATCATGTTCAAAATTTTTAATGAAAATTAATTAAGAAATGAATAACTTTTTTATAATTATAAAAAATTTTTTTAAAGAAATTCAATTATTTTCGAGAAATACAATATTTTTAAAAAACTAAGTCTTTGAATTTTTTTATCCTAAATTTGTTAAGATTCAATTATCCTTAAACAATGTAAATTAAAATTTTCTAAAATTTCTTCTTTAGATTTATTATATTTTATATAATTTCGGAGAAATCATTTATAATTAAAATTCTTCAAAAATTTGATAATTTTTTTTATATTTTTCAAAAGTTTAGTTATATTTTTAAAAGATTTTAGCTAATTTAAATTATTTTTAAAAGATTTTACCCAATTGTTTGGAAATTTTGTATTTTTTATATAATTAAAAAACGCTTATTTATCTTTCAAAAACTATTTAAAAATATTTTGATTTCCTCAATTTCTGAAAGTTTAAATGAACGAAATTTATTTACTTCTTGTTCAAATTAAATTTTTTTTACAATAATTTTGCGTTTCTATAAGAAAAAATTAATTCTAAAGTTTGTAAATGTAAAATTTAATTTTTTAAGTTTTTTTTATTGCATAACTTGTGATTTATAAACATTTTTTTAAATAGAAAATATTTCGTTTATTTGAACGTTCAAAAATTGTGGATCATATATTTTTAAAAAATCAATTTCATGAATTTCTTTACTCATAATTTTTAAAAAATATTACGCCTTAATAATTTAAAAAAAAAACATGGACAGTTACAATTGTTATAAAACATTGCATTTTTGTATTTAAATAATTGAATTCTCGAAGAGCTTTCGGAAAATTATTAAAAATAATAATTGATTTAGAAATGAAGTTTAGCTAAAAATTGTAGAAAATAATTGAATTTTAGAAGGGTTATTGTTATAATTTTTAGATATTATTAAATTTCAGGAGGTTCTAAAAATTTAAATTTTACTCCCGGTGGAGAAACAAATAAGAATTATTTTATTTAACAAAGTTATTGAAGTTTTGAATAATTGAATTTGGAAATCAGTGAAAAGATCAAGGAATTAAAAAATACGTGCGGGTGAAGTTGACAATCCAATGATTGGGAGAAAAATATTTTTTTATACAGAAAATAATATTTTTGTTTACAAATTTTTATTTTTGAATGTTTGATGATAAAATATTGTTAAAAAAAATTTTTTTTTGAGCCAAACAATTAAAAAAATGACGAAGTTGAAGTCCACAACGTTTATCAACGAAAAAAAGATCCTAAAGTTCTAAACGTTCAAATGAACGAAATTTATTTATTTCTTCTCCAAATTAAATTTTTATTGCAATTATTTTGCGTTACTATCCAAAAAATTAATTACTGAGTTTCTAAACGTAAATATTTCAGTTTTTAAATTTGTTTGTGATTAGTAATTTATTAAAATATCTTCAATAAAAAATATTTCGTTCATTTGAACGTTCAAAACTTGGGGATCATACGAAAAAAATTTATTTAATGCATTCAAGTATTATTTTTAATTTAATTTTTAATTGTAAAATAATTATTATCAAAATATAAAAACCAATTTTTTTTTCTAAATATTTTTGTGTCAATATTTATGCGTCATTTTTAATTAATTTACTAAGTGAACAATTTTTTTTCGTTGATCAACGTTGTGGACTTCAACTTGGTCAAAAATGAATATTTTTTCTATTACATCGTTGATTATAAACGTTGTAAATTTCACCAACGTACTCGAAATATACAATTATTTTGACAACACTGAATTAAATAGAATTGAAAAGTTTATTAAATAAGTTAAAATAAATTAAGTTAATTAAATTTATTAAATAAATTAAATTAATTAAATATACGACTTTTTCTAATTGTTTCTATTTCTAATCGACTAAAGCGATTTTCGTTACACCTTAAAGTCGATCCAAAGCCTGCGTTAACTATTTTTATTTATTATTAAAATTAACTCTTGTGCTTTTTCTGATAATTTATGAAATTTTTTTTGTATAAAACTATAAATACGGAATATAATAGTTTAAAATGTGTGTTAAGAAAAAAGTGATGTAGAGATTATTGTTTAGTTTGTTGTTTATAATGGGAGAAGTTTGGAATTGGTTGCATGACTTAATACTTTTAAATAATCCCTCAACAAAATAGTGGTTTTTCATTCTAGTTTGCGACCCCGTTAAGGCCCCTCCTTCTCTTCTTATTTACTTCCATTACTTGAGGTAGGTCGTGCCTTGGTTCCGCATGAGATGCCTTCGTTAAAAACATACACGTATAGCCGGGTGGATAACGAGGTGATAAATGTACGCCAAGTTTCATTCTTTTTAAGTACTGTGCCGACAAAGAATTAAGGAATGCAAATTATTAAATTATGCGAGATTAAGAAAAAGAAAAAGAGAGGGAAAAAAAATTTCCATTTGCGTAGATTTACTTCTTTCCACTGTATATATAACTTTTTATCAAGACGAATTTTAATAACGAGAAACTCGAAAAATGAATTTCAAGCCAGTGTATACCTACATTGAAAGTCTTTCTTTTTAAATGTACACAAATTTTTTTTAATTAAAAATTGTAGTCTGAATATATTTTTTTATTTCATTTTTGTTTTTATTGTATTTTTGTTAGGTTTGTTTATTTATAAATACTTGGTAACGTTTAGTGATTTAAGTCCTTGAAGTTAGCGTCGAAAACTTTCGGGGTCACTTCTTTTATTCAAACAAGAAGCTAAATTAATTTTAGGCCCTTTTTTAAATTTAAAATATAAGAAAAAATGTTTTTATATTTTTGTGAAAAACTGGAAAATTGTGGGAAAAATCAGGTCCCTGAAGTTAGCGTCGATAAGCGTAATTTCTAGTCAATTAATTAACAACGAATTTTGTTTGTTGGAGGAGAAATTTTAAGTATAACTATAAACAATTAGTTATTATACAAATTTCTTTTTATTTCTATCTCGAGAGGT